TCTCGAACTGCACTAATAGAAAAACTAAAATGATGTGCGATATCTCGAACTGCAAAAATAGATAAACTAAAATAATGTGAGATATCTCGAATTGCTAAAATAGATAAACTAAAATGATGTGAGATATCTCTAACTGCTAAAAAATGAAAAATCTACTAGATATTAGTTATCTTGAACTTCTAAATGAGAGAAAATTTACGAAATGTCTTACTAAAAAAAGAACAGAAAAACTAACTATTTGTAAATATATTGAACTGCTGAGACAAATACAGTGAGACACATAAAACTGTGGAGTAGAAAGACTCAAGTTATTATTTCAATAAGTCATGTTGATACAATTAATAATCCATATAATCGTGTTTTGAAAAAAAAACAAAACCTCTTTTGTATGATATGTATATATATGTATCATTCAAAGTTTGCTCAAGTCTCCATGGATAAAGTTTGCAAAATGCATTCTGTGCAAAAGTTATGGCAAAGTTTAAAGTGTAGTCGGAAAGGAAAACGTGAAGGTATCTTACCTTTAAAATATGCAAATTTAACTTGTGCTGAATTTTTAGATATTTTCATAAAAAGCTATGTTTAGTAAATTATAGATACAGAAGATTTTGACTGTCAAAATATATGTGCACAGAGCTGAAAACTTTAGATTGAGATATCCTTAATCCCGATTACTTAATCTGAGTTTCCAATGGACATACTTTTGATTTTTTTCTTAAACCACTCTTTCTTGGGTATTGTAGAGAAAAATCAAAAACCGGGTTTTTTAAATAAGAGAGTCCCTCCCGTTTCAGAACATTAATCTTAAATGGCGTGCAAACTTTAAAATTTATCGGCTTCATATACAAGACTCTGATTGGTTAAATTTAAACACTTTTCAGGATAGAAGTACAAGATTAGGTTAGTCTCAATATTAAGAAAAATAATGGATCAAGCATAAATCTTGATATCCACCATTCTAAAGTTTTCAGCTCAGTACATTCATGACCACATAGGTCCAGGCAACTAGGAAAAGTTGCATCAATTTTCTGGATCAACGTGACACAACGTCTTGGTATTCCATTTATTCCTTACTCACTTTTACATTTCTATATGTCTATATTTCTATATTTCTATATTTCTATATTTCTATATTTCTATATTTCTATATTTCTATATTTCTATATTTCTATATTTCTATATTTCTATACTTCTATACTTCTATATTTCTATATTTCTATATTTCTATATTTCTATATTTCTATAGTCTTAACAATCTCAATTTGGAACCATAACATATATGTTTCTAGCTTGCTTCAATATGTAACAACCAATTGGCCAAATTTTAATTTGCATGATGAGAGCTAAAAAACGTTTGATGATTGTGAAGGGTTATACCAGAGGTCACGATATAGATTTTTCGGGAGAAAAAACTAGGTTGAATACTAAGCTTTTAGGGAAACTTAAATCCGGGTTTAGCCTTAAAATATTGTGGGACTAATTTTTCTTAGAGAATCTAATTTTAAACCTGCAAATCAATTCATCAAAACTTACCAAGTTGGATCTAACTTTGATCGTTAGAATTTGTGACCTCGTAGCTCCTGTAGTATGAGAGTCAAACAAAAACATGTAATATGTTAATAGAAAATATAAATAAATGATTTACCCAAAATCTCTTCAGAAAAAGGAAGCTATGATTGAAAACCTGTTAGATTTCAATTAGACCTGAAAGTTTACATTAATTTGATACTTCCCACTGTTAAAGTTAAAGGAAAAATAGAAATAGTAGTTATCGTTTTTTTTTACTGTCATCAAATAGATTTAATAAATCATTATATGTTAAAGGATTCGATAATGATAAATGATAAATATATTACCTGATTGCAAAAATCCATAATTTAAAATTTCTGTAAACAAAGGAATTGGGTATTTGACAAAAACTCTAGCTTTCCAATCCCAATATCTTTGTAACCCAATGGCGTTGACCTTAATTATTTTAAACTATGAATTCTGTTAAATCAAATTTATAAAGATTAAGATATTAGATGTTTAAACAATTAGGTAGCAAAGATATAGGGATTATGAAATTTCAGTTTTGGCAAAGACTTTTGACCTACACCATTAATGTATTTATTTATCTATGTGTATGTAAGTAAATTTTTGAAATAAAAATAAAAATAACCATATTTTTACTACTCGAGGTTTGGTGAATAACCATAACAATTTAAATTGATGAGGTTTTGTGATTTATAAACAATATTGACTACAGATGAAAAGGTTATACCAGAGATAAGGATTAATAACAAATAAAAGAGGTGATTGATTAATACTGCTTTTTATTTATATTTTTTATATTAATGATTTTTCACACTGTTGTCTGAAGACTTATTCATACTTTCTTATTTTAGGGTTTTCTTTTTTTTGTTAAAAATGACTGATTGTCCCGGCCTGTGCAGTTTTTATTTTTTATTTTTCTCAACTGCAATTGTACTGTATATAAAAGTTCTCATTTGGTGTATAATAAACACAAATAGTATACCAGGGGTATCAAACAAGTATGTTCACCTTTTTTATTTAGAGCTAAAATTACATTTCGTTTTTACAATTATAAAATACTAGCTGAAGAGCCAGGCGTTGCCCGTGGAAAAAATAAATATGAAAAAAAAATTTATTTTAAAAAAATTGAAAAAAATATTGAACTTTTTCGCCTATAACAACCCCCGGCCACCCATGAGTGTCCACAAAAAAAATCAGCACATTCGGTCCAGCCGTTGGGCCAGCTATAGGCAACATATATTAGAATGTCTTGTTTTATTATATTTATTTTTATTATATTTTTATTTCTTAACCTCTGTTCATGTCAAAGTGTGTTATTGTAATGTGGTTTTTTCCAATAAATAAATTTAGTTAAAGAAATATTTTGGAAAAAAATTCAGCACATTCGGTCCAGCCGTTTGGCCAGCTTATAGACGACATTTATATGAATGTCTTGTTTTATTCTTTAGATTTCTTTTTATTATATTTTTAATTATTAACCTCTGTTCATGTCAAAGTGTGTTTTTGTAATGTGGTTTTTTTTCAATAAATAAATTTAGTTATAGAAATATTTGTTAGATTTAGAACTTCCATTAGACACATTACATGATTGAATGCTTTAAACCAATAAAATTTTGGAGTTCATGAGTTATGATCGAACATACGAACAGACAGGCAGACAATTAGAAATGTCTACTTCATAAGGTATATAACGGGTGTCCAACCAAAAAACTGCATTTTTAGTTTTTTTGTCTATTTAAGAAAAATATACAAAATATGTTAAAAATATTCAAAATTTTCTTTTGTTTCCATAAATCCACCATTTTCTTTGTCTTTCCTTGAAAAAAATCATAAAATTGTATCGTCTTCTGCTAAAACTAATCTGTAAAATTGTTTTGACGGTTCTGATGAGAATTTTAAAACTTTAAAGGGAATGTAATCGTAATTTCGAGTGACCCTCCAATTACATACAAAGTCTCAACGGTACCCTTGAAACCTTCTTAATCTGATCTGTAATGTTAAATGTTTATTTCTGATAATTCCAATAAGTTCTTCTGAAGTAGAAGTCCTTTTGTAGAGAAACCCCAATTAAAAATAAACAGTTTTTAAAATAATTAAAATTTATATCCTTATTTGATCAGACAAAGCTATTGTATATTGGGCATTGCCATATTTTTATGGAAGGTCACTTGAAATATATATATATATGTACTCTGTATATATATATTTATTTATATATATATATATGTAAGAACCTATTACTCTGGAAGGTTGTGAACAAGGGAATATTATAGAAGATTTGTAGACTGTAGACTGTAGACTGTAGACTGTAGACTGTAGACTGTAGACTGTAGATTGTATGTAGACTGTAGACTGTAGACTGTAGACTATAGACTGTAGACTGTAGACTGTAGACTGTAGACTGTAGACTGTAGACTGTCGACTATAGACTGTAGACTGTAGACTGTAGACGTAGACTGTAGACTGTAAATGTAATCCTATGGGTTTGTATGTGTATTGTATATTTTAAAATTGAACCCCCCTGTAATCCTATGGGTTTGTATGTGTATTGTATATTGTATATTGAACCGCCTGTAATCCTATGGGTTTGTATGTGTATTGTATATTGTATATTGAACCCCCTGTAATCCTATGGGTGTGTATGTGTATAGTATATTGTATATTGAACCCCCTGTAATCCTATGGGTTTGTATGTGTATTGTATATTGTATATTGAACCCCCCTGTAATCCTATGGGTTTGTATGTGTATTGTATATTGTAGATTGAATCCTCCAGGGACTAGTTTGTTGCAGCATGAAGCTCTGTAGATGTGTATAGTGTGTAGAGCCAACAATAAATCCTCTAAACACTCCAAACACAAATAGTTATGTTCTTTTTTACAGCATGTACAGCGGGAAACATAAAACTATGAAATAAGAAAACCACTGTTAACTTAAGTCGAGGTGTTATGGAAACGGTTCAACACGGAAACTCCAATGAACATGAAACAGAAATTGTGTCCAGTATAAACAAAGCTATTTCACTTAATATCTTGATCTTAGATTCACAAATAAAACATGTATTTTATAACAACATTAGATAATAATACTTAGATGGTGCCTTCTTATTCCAAAGTTGTATGGGTCCCTAGTACAAAGCAAGAATGTTCTACATCAAACTAACTCTCCTATCTATATTTATTTGATGCTTTGAATTTATATGGGAATTTTTAGAATAAAAAATCTAACTGTCGAAACTGATCAACTGGTTTCTTCCAGTTTATTCAGACAATTCACATTTGTTCGCTAATTTTTATCTCTTCTATATCTTTCCTTTAATTTTGTTCCTATTTTGTCACTTTTCTTTTTTTGTTATTTTTCAACCATTTTATTCTTCTTTTGTCACTTTTTATCAAAATGTTAGTTCAACATTTTTTCTTCTCCGTCTTCTATATATAAATTTGGCTTGTCTGTCTATTTGTCTGTCTGTTTGTTTGTATCCAATAAACGTCAAAACGGCTGAACCGATCGGGCCCAAATTTTTTGTGGGACATCACGTTGTACTCGTAACGTTGTTTTTGAGACTTTAAAAACATAAAAGCTCACTCATATCCAGGGCGAGTATTCCCTTATAACCAGCGCACCACATTAATACACGAGTGTTATGTTTATATAAGCTTTATTGAAGTAGTTTATCCTCAACTTCAGCTCTCACACTGTGAACTGAAATTAAATTATTATAATATAACAGAATTTATACGTATATGTTTACAAAAATTTGCTCCAGGTCTCAATAAAGAAATTTAGTTTTTTGAATCATTAAAAATCATATTGGCAAAGAGTTCAGTATTTAAAAACACACTTACAAAGTTGCTCGGGCTGGGGTCTTGATATGAGCTACAGTTCAGAGAGAGATTATCTTATGCTTCATTCAGAGTCCTTTTGAGTCTAAAAGAGAATTCTCGGTGAGATTTGATCGACAAAAGATCAGCTTATAGATCACTTATCAAAATATTAGCACAGAAATTGCAGTGTACCTTTAGGTGCAATCCTTAAAGCAGAGAAGGAGAGTATCGGAGAACCAAGGGGAAGACGACGTCCTTGATATTGTTCTCTGATCTTGAGGAATCTAAACAAGACGGGGTTTAAAATCCTGTTCGTCAAGATCGTTATATATATTTCTCGTGTGATGAGTCTCACCTTAACAGGACACGTCTAAAGCATATGACGTTCCAACATAAGTCCTCGAAATCTGTGTTGTCCAGTCGGAGGCAGCTCGGTCAGATCAATCAGTACTCCGAGTCGTGATTCAGAGGAGGTGAGCTCACATTCATAAGCTCAGGATGATGGTCAGGATGGTGGAAGACGGCCAACGGAATTTAGAGTAGTTCTGAAGATAGAAGACGACATCAGAAGATTTCTCCAGGTGGAGAGTATTTACTCCATCAGATCTGTCAGACGGAGGAGTACACGAACATCAAGGTAGGTCCTGAATACATGTATTTAAGGTATCTGCATGTGCATAATATTATCGATGAACATTCCAAGGATCAAGGTTCAAAGTCTATTTATGATTTCGCATGGTTCACCTGAGTTTCATTTACTCGACGAATGAAGATTTGTAGATGAAGTTGTAGGTAATAGATTTGTAGGATGATGTTGTAGGTGGTAGATTTGTAGGATGGTTGAAGTTAGGGAGAACACGTTTAATCTAAGATCTGTATCACCATTATAAAACATCATTACATATATCAAAGTTTTTTTTTTTAGCTCAAGACCTTTTTTATTATTGGAAACAATCTTTAAAAAGATGTTTCATAAACCTCGTAAAAGTGGAGACCTGGAGACTTAATCGGGATATAAATATATCAACCCATTCTTCGTCTGAAAAAAAGACGATATATAGTTTTTTAAGTTAAAATTATCCTTTCCAAATTAAAATTATTATTATACTAAGCTAAAATCTTTACTTTTTAAATTAAAAACTTTCTTTCTTTTGAATTCTCAATAAGATAAAGAATTTTATATAAAACATCTCATGATTAACATTGCTCATGGCTTGATAAGATTAAAAGAATATATAGGGTTATATAATTCAGAACATTGATTTTTTAGTATAAGGATAAATAATCAAGAGTTTTAGAAACGTAGGAGAAAGTTCGAATTTTCATGTGTAGATTCAGTTTCAACCTTCTCCGCTCCAACTTCTTCACATTCATCACAAGGATTCTCCAGGTTTTTCAGAAATCCTGAACATTGAAAGTTTATTAGAATTCTTCAAATTCCACACACGTGACCACAGGGAAGGTTTATGAATGATCAAAATTTCAAATATGTGTCTCCATCAAAATTCGATCCTCATTAAATTTTTGAAAATTTTGAAAATCCACGAAATTTTTTGTGAAAATCCGTAAATTATTTTTGTTTTGTTTTACGATGTACACAAAGAGAACATGTTCACAATTAATTTAGAAGATGGGCGCGAAGCGCCCTCTAAGGCTAGTTTGTTAATATTTTGATAAACTTTTATTCTATTTTAATCTGTCTTTAATCCAAGTTTATCATTCTTTATTTCTTTACCCATCTTTAGTCTCTATTTTATCCATCCTTAGTATTTTTGTCGCCTTTTTACCAACATAACCGACCTATGATCCACCCATCATCAGAGGAACGTTACAAGTTACTTTACGTGCCGTGGGACAATTAAGTAAAATAACGACCTGCTCTTTGAAGTTTTCGAGAAAAAATTCTCGAATTTTCATCTCAAAATACGATAAAATTGTGTCAACTTCTTTTTCTGAGCATTGAAAATTGTACTTATAAACCACATTTTATTATAATTATTATCCATCTTTTTATTAATTTTATCTATATTGTTTTTCTCTAACCGTCTATAGTTTATCTTTAAACCACATTTATTTAGTCCTTTACCATTCTTTTATTCATACAATCAATCATTCCTTTTATACATCTTTTAAAACTTCATCTATCTTTATACATGCATTTAGATTTTTTAACCTACTCAACTCAAACACTTCTATCAAAACTACATAGTCATTACTTAATATGTATATTATTATCTATCTATTGTATAATATATGTTGTATATAAAAGTAGGGTAAGTATATGAACCCCTGTGATAAATGTGAACAATGAAGAGGATTGGAATGGGATGATGAAGAGACACTAAAAATGTCATAAAAGTGTTGAATTGACCATTGTAGGATAGGAACAGAGAAACTTCAGATATATTTCTTCATTCGGGTGACAATTGGTCTTCTAGAGGATTCTTAATGGTTGGAGGAAGTTAGGAGGGGATCAAGGGAAGGGGGATCAAGTAAATGGTATAAATTATACATGGAAAGGAGGAGAAAAAAGAACGAGGAATAAATTGGAAAGGAATGGAAGGGGAGAAGAAAGAATGAGAAGGGAAGTCGAATTTAAAAAAGAATAATGAGGATGAAGAAAGGGATTAAGTGGACAACCTATCCCCTTAATATTGAACAACTTGAGTTTCTTCTTTTTAAAGTAATAAACTTTGTAGTTTCCTTGAATTTTTCACTTTTAAAACTGTTTTATCATTATTTGGACGCCATGTGATTATGAAGTAAATTAAAAGAGAAATTGGGAAGAAATTGAATAGAAAGGGACAAAAAAGAAAAGGGAAATAGATTCGGAAATGAAAGAGATTGTAAAGAATAAAAAATGGAGGGAAGGGGAGGTTGTGCTTGAATTGAATCTATTTGCTGAAATGAATTCTAGAATACATATTGTATATTTCTACTTGATTGTACTCATCTAGAATCCTGTCAACAATTCTTACAATTCATACAATATACCCAGCTACAACCAGACTTGGGGGGAATTCAGTCAAAAAGAGGCTTTTTTACTTGATAGCTTCTCTTTATTTCTGTATATCCATGCTGTTTAAAAGCTTGATATAAATCAAAATTTAAATCGAAAGTCGTCTTCATTATATTGATATAATCGCGCGTTTACCACCGTATAAAAATTTCGAAATAGGTCAAACTTGTAGCAAAAATGCGCGTTTAAATGCATTTTACAGTTTTAAGTAGAGTAATTAAATACCAGAGACTCATTTACATTGTAAAAAGCATTTTTCCCCTTTCATTTTCATGATTTGTTTGTTACATACTGACATCAAATTTTTTCCAAAATTTTGCTTGGAACTTGATAAAAGTAGATATTCTTATTGACCAAATACAAAACTTCATGCAGAATTGAGGATTTGACATCATTCAAAAAAGCTTTTAAAAACGAATCAAAGTTTTTTTTTATAAACGTTCAGCGTAAATGAAAGGAATTGAGTCTATGTCACAAACTCTGATTTTCTAATCCTTATTTCTTGGCAACTTTATATCATTGAACTTGAATATTAAATAAAAGAGTCTAAAAAGAGTCTAACGTTTGAAATATCGAAGGTTTACACCAGCAGGTTGCAAACTTTTAATTCCCTTGCTGCAAACATGATCTGAAAAATTGTCATAGTTCAAATATCAGTGTTCCAGTTTAGATAAAATGAACCGTTCATTCCTTCCTTCATTCTTTGTAGTCAGTGTTAGTTAAAGCGGGGAAAATTCCCCCTCCCCCCCTGGCAAAATATGGGGCGCAACGAGAGAGGGTACCATCTTGTCCGTGTAATTTGTTTTTTTAGTTATTTAGTTAGCCGCTTCTATATTTAGTAACTAATGAACACTGTTGTTCATGGTAATGGCAATCTAATAAATCTAAATGCAGAACGTATTCTAAAAATCCTTATTCATAAAAATCTGCCAAATATTTCTTATAAATGCGCAAACATGGCGTTCAGCTCGAGAGTGTTGTTTTCTTCTTTGTGTTTATTTAATTGCATTTCATTATGTCTTGGACTAAATTACGGCAACATAGTTTGCAATCGCGATCTCCTTCGATGGAACTATAAAGAAATCATAAAAAGTAGTATGTATTCAGGTAATAGCTTTGTTTAAATTACAAAAGCCATAACTTTCCATCTACTTTTATATAAAGGTTACGACGAGAACAATATGTTTGTTATTGACTGGGCAGCAATGTTTGATGATGAAAACCAAGGTAACAATTCTTTGATGAAAACCAAGGTCATGTAAACGTCCGTAAGTGATGAATCTTAGAAAATTTTGCAGTGGAACTGTTAATTCAATTATGAATAAATACAAAGGTTATTTGTTTTTAAATTAACACAAGTTAAATTTTTTATCTAAAGGTAGCCATCCATCCTATGTTACCCAAGGCTGGGGGGGGGGGGAGAATACAGTGAAAACCAGAAACTCTGAAAGAGAAAGACGGCTTTTAGAATCAAGTTATGACTTTAAATTTAGTCCAATGAACATGAAACACGGCTATTGGGGAACGACCCCCTTTTAACCTCATAGGTGATTTAATATTTAACTATTTATTAACTATTAATTTAACTATTAATTTGCTTTGTAACAACATCAAATGCACTTTAGTATTGCTTTCATGTCGTCTTCATTTTCTACACATTTTTGGTTCTCATGCACTGTATGTCACATTTTTTTTATTTTTGTAACATCTATCTAAGTATTACAGGTTGGCTTTCAAGGTTACATAAAGATTATTTTTAAAGATCTGCTTTACATTAAAGATTTTGTCTTTTAATGGCTTTTTTTGAGTCATCATAAACATGAGTTTTAAAGATTTTGTACAGGGGTCTAACAGGGGGAGACTAAATACAGATGTACAGGGGTACAACAGGGGGAGACTAAATACAGATGTACAGGGGTATAACATGGGGAGACTAAATACAGATGTACAGGGGTATAACAGGGGGAGACTAAATACAATTGGGCCCAATTGTGAAAATAAAGGTCCGCCCTTTAAAGAATATTATTTGGATTTGTTGTTGTTAAAAAGCAGTTTTACTAGTTTTACTAGCAGTTAAAAAATCAACTTATTCGAAAATTGCAGCAATGTAGATTCTGTCTGTGTTCACTACACATATTAGTTAATATTGTGTTATTTAAAGTCATAACTTGAGTCCAATACTCGTCTGTACCCATAGATAAAGATAGATTGCGCATAAGACGACATTTTTCATCTTGAAAGATATAAATGTACAGAGATTATAAAGATTACTTAGGTCGGTTGTGAAAATTGGCTGTTGTTCTTATGTCATTGAGTGCTTGTGGTGTACATGAGTTCTGCAGAGAGAAATTTAAGTTAGTTTAGTCCTTCTTATGTCCTTCTTCAGTTCTCGTCAATATGATATATTGCTCAGTGAAATATTGTTGTTCAAATAGTTCCGTTCCCGGAGTTATTTTACACCACTCTATTATGAAATCCATTAAAACACCAAACCACCCCGCTTATCATTGAAGTACACTTTGACCCCTAGAAGTATGAATTCGCTGACTGTACAGTTCTTGTTGATTTTGCGTACATAAGCTATCAATCTATGCTTATCTATTTATCTATGTCTGTACCTTTTTCACTGTGTTCCACATATTTTAATAAAATTTTAATTACAGATATTTCTAAGAGAACGCCCCGGACAGGCGGTCCTCGACTTCAACCTGTACCACGCTACCTGATTTCAAAGAACCGTGAGAAATAATTTTATATATATCATTTTAAATCAAAATTTTTTTTTTTTTTAATTTCGTAAATTATTTGCTTGAAAAAGTATCTCCGGGTAAAATTAAGAAGTTTAGAACACATAAAACTAATTACAAGGAACAACAGGATGTTTGTATCGGAATAAATTGATCTCTCGTTCAAAATCAAAATAGCGTAAGAGATCATGTTATAGTTTTAAAAAAGTACTTAATATGAAAAATGAAAATCTACATTTGATGGATGAAACAGGGTTTTTAAGTTAAGAATCAATAGGCTTTTAATCAGGACGTCTGATGAACCTCAAAGGTTTGTCATAATTTTTGGGTCATCCTTCTCTCTGCAAATATGGAGGGTCACGTCACGTGAAATTACGTCTATTATATAATAATCTGTTTAAACAGAATCAAAAATAAGAACATGTTTAATCTTAAACAAAAACTCTCACAACGAGTCCCTAAAACAAGGTAAGGTAAAAAAAACTTTAAGAATCCATTTATAAAAAAATTGAGTCTTTGTCACAAAATCTGATTTTCTTATCAGCTTATATCTTTGCAGTTCTCTGGCATAGACATTTTAAATTATGAATCCTGTGAGATCAAACAACCATCAGGTTGCATAGATATAGGGATTATAAAATTTGAATTTATGACAAAAAAATCTTTTTCTTCATGTTTTGTTTAGCGTTTCAACCCTTACCTCATATGGGCTGGTGTGTGGATTCTATTCAAGTTGTATACGGGATAAACGATCAAACTTTAAAGGAAATGGACAGTAAGTTCAGTTTCATTTTCTGAAAACTATAACAATTTACTGAAAAAAATAGTAATTCAGGTAATATTTTCGAATTTGTCGAATGTCGAGCTTTTGTTGTGGCAACAAGAAATGGCCTGAGTTCGGAATTTTCGTGTACAGTATCTTAAATCTTAACCGCTTGAGCTCCATATTCGATGTGGGCACTTTTAAAATCAATTAAAGTTATCTTTGCAGGGTATGACACCCACGGAATTGTAAAGAAGAATTAAATGAATCCGTTAAAGACGGAGATCAATGTTTGATCCCGCGATTCACATCACAAAAGTTGTGACTTGTTATTTTTTATCTATATTTTGTTTAGTTTATAAATGTTGTGAGATGATTAAACGGATGGAACCTCCATACCAGAGAAATAAACGTAAGTATTAGTTTGATATCTAACATTTTTATTACAGGAATATATTCTCCATATAACGACGATATTTTCCATAATATTAATCAGATTAAAGGTTAGAGGGAACCACCCTCAACTAGGCTTTCAGTGTGTATTGCAGTAATTTGCAGTACACTAACCAAAGAAATAATGGTTTAAGTGAAGAGTGGTAGGGTTGTGTATCTGGCATGCGACGCCCATCTTGAAATAAAGGAATACTAGAAATTAAAACAAGACTTCATTATAAGTCGGAAAATATGTTTTTTAGTTATTGCTAGATTTTCATAATATTAGTCTTTGAGTTGGTGGAGTTTGGCTGATAGCGATAATTTTACTTCTAATAATCTATGTTCTATACCTCATCAGGTTCATGTTTTTAAACTCTTTAAGTTTAAAAAAGAAAATATTTAGTATGACTAACCCTGATCAGAAAACTACAAGGTGGAAGGAAAGGGGGCACTCAGATCCACACAACTAAAATTTTTAATTAAAATTGAGACATTTATTGGACTTAGGTTTTACCTTGCCATTACCTTTTTGTAGCCCTGGACATGTACAATTTTAAACTGTAACACGATTGTTTCTAGCTTCAGATTATATGGAGTAATTGACAAAATAATAATTGGTTTATGCTTGAGAACTTGTATAATTTAGTTAACAGTAAGGGAGGGGAGGGGGGGTGTTGAGGTGAGTATAGCACCCCCCCCCCCCGCTTATAGTTGCGCCGATATTTATTTGTTTTCTGCTTCATGATTTGTGTTCTAGGTCCAGAAGATAAAATGTGCGATTGTCCAAGACTAGGATATGCTTATAAGAAGGCTAACTACACAGTCAAATGGAGTGGCCTGGAACCAATTCGGTCAGATATATTGTTTAATTATGTATTTATCATTTAATGATTATTAATAGCATTTTTCTAGGCTTCCTATCTGCTCTGATGAAAGTAATGTGATCATAACCTTCTTCTATAATTACTGGTGGGAGTTCAGCTCTTATACTAATTATAGATTTGTATTTAATGAAACAAGATCTATAGACAAATGTGATTCGTATGCTGAAGCCATTCCAGGTACTCAAGGGACAGTTTACTGTGATTTCAAGTGACCCTTAATTTAAAGATATGCGTTCCTGATTCACAACGGTACCCTAGAAACCTTTATCCGATCAATAATGTGGAAAATAGCATCTTTTTTCTATCTTGTAAAGTGTTATTTCCGTTAATTACGCAGAAGTTACTTTTGTATGGAAACAGCAAACAAAAATACCCAGTTTCCAAATACAAAACATAGAAATCTAATTCATACTTGATTAAACAAAGCTTTTAGGGTAACATTTTGAATCGGACATGCCACTTTAATATTAGAGGGTCAATTTACTGTCCCTTAAAGTCTTAAATTTAAAATATTTCAACTCTGTCATAGATTATACAACGTTTAAACTGTATCCGAATTTAAAGAATTTAAGCCGCGTCTCAAATCCCCCAAAAACCGGTTTCAGTTGAGGGCCAGCTTAAATCTTGTAAAATTTAATACAATTTTAAGTGGAACCAACCATATTTGAGTCGCGACTCAAATACTTTCAATTCGGCCTCTAGATAATCTAACCTTCAGAAACCATTATTTTTATAAAATCATAATATTTGTCATGAATATGATGTGTAAGGAAAATAATATGAGCAATCATTTTAGTAAATATATTCTATTTTTAAAGAATACCTTTCCATCAAAGCTGAATATGGTTCAATATTTTTGTTCTAATATTCTGATGATTTATTTTATTTAATTGTATGAATTAGTGCAAGAAAAAACTACCAAAGGAATTCTAATTCCTATATCTTTTTAAACCCGATGTCGTAAACTTTTAGTATTTCAAATTTTAAATTTTGTTATAACAAATGCTCTGAGTTTGAAATATCACTGGTTCATCAGGTTGCAAAGATATAGGGATTAGAAAATTTGAATTTATGGCAAAAACTCAATTCCTTTTTGTCTGACAATTATTTGCATTTATGGATTATTGTATGGGTTGAGGCCGCCAAATATCTTCATAATAAATGCTTTGATTATCATTTTTAAAATATGTTTGCAACATTCTAGTCACAATGTTTAGAAAAGAGGATCGAAAATTGTATTTATAAAACGAAAGACAACTTTGCAGATGAAATTATAAAGAATTCAGGTTAGTGCAGAAGTGTAGAAAATTCTTGTTTTTATCTTTTATCAGTTTATCTGTGATTGGTTAGGAAAGAATAACAAATTATTTGCCAGAAAAATACTTTTTCTTTGTCCTTGTCATTATTTATAAGAAGAAATGTTTCCTTATTTTGTATTTTGTTATGTATACTTATTTTTTATACATCATAAGTACACAGTCATATATATAAATATATTTGCAATATTATTGTAAAAGGATAATATCGATATAATGAAGACGAATATTTTATTTAAGTTTTCATTATTAACAAGCTTTTTTAGAATTACAAGTTTACAAGTAATTGACAGCTTCTCTACAAGTAATTGATAGCTTCTCTTTGTTTCCATGTTTTTTGTCTCCAATAAACAATATAAATTAGATTGAAATCGAAAGTTGTCTTCATTATATTGGTATAATCGCCTACCACCGTATATATAATTACACAAAGGATACTGACCCGCACAAAAATAGGTAGAAGTAATTTAACACATGCTGCGTGGAGAGACGTATTTGTTCCCCAAAGAATTACAACACGTTTAGTATTAATGTTTCATCGGATATTCAAAATCTCAATATCATAAAAATGTGTGTACAAAAAACTCCTAACTGAATAGATATTAATGTTAGTCACAATCAGGTTTTAAATGTCGTACTTTTATGAAATATGGAAAACATGGAGGCATAAACTTTCACTTCCGATCATTCTGGTCTTCAGGGACATTTATGAGCGGGTAGAATGGTTGTGTTCCAAAGTCCCAAAAACTATGGTTATTGTAAGTATTCTGAAATAGGACTATAAACAAGAATTTAGCACAGGACAGATTAAATGTTGTAACAAGTTTAGTCCTATATTTAGAATATCTGGATGAGAAAAGACCATGGATGATAACAATGGACTGGACCAAAGCATTTCCAATTGATAGAGGTAACCAAAAGTCTACAGGGTAGACCAAAACTATTGTCATTTAAATTAAAACCAAAGAAAACAGCATATTCCGCTGAATATATGGATTTTTATGACATTATAATTATACAAATTTTTATTTCAAATTATTTATTAAAACTAAAATATTTATAATTTAAATTATCCGTCTTTTTGAAGCGATCACTAGGAGTCAGTACAACTTTATATTTAATTAATCTTAGTAACTTATGAGGTATGAAAGATTAAATGTGAGTTTAAAGTCGTAAACCTAATATCCCACACTGTTTCTAACTTCATTTCTATAATAATACAAATTGTTCCATTACAATTATAATGCTGACGATTATAAATATTTGAAGCTGCTAGGATTAAAGTTTTTCTTAACGGTCTTATAATTAAAGTGATAAACCCAATCATTGTTTTTAGTTTTAAGTTTTAAACAAGTAAAGTTGATATAATTTAAGTTTTAATTAAAAAATACTTGTATTTTTATAATTATGTTTTTTTTCTATAGTTACTGAATCACCTCTCTACAGTTAATTGTTTATATTAGATTCTGGGATATCGTATGCTAGATGTTTCCTGGATATATTTATCCAGTATGGACCAATACAGGCATCAGATCTAGACTCTATAAAAGGTAAGTTTTTACAGAGTTAGAATGATATTTAGCCATATTCAAATTCCTGTCGCCACGATCTCTGTATGTTTTTTGCCGGGATTGTTTTTTTTCTTGTTTGTTTTCACTACGTTCGGTGTAAAAGTAAAACAATTAGGTGTGCTAAATTTCCTCATAGTTTAATAAAATAAAAAAATAAAAAACTCATAATGCTATGATTTGTTGTTAACAGGAATATTTTACCGCCCAACGATGTCCCTGAGTCTTTGTCAAAAACTCAAATTTTGTAATCCATATATATTTTTGCAACCTGATGGTGTAAACCGGCCTTTGATATTTTAAACTTAAGACTATTTGATCTAACAGAATTCATAAATCTACGACAATAGGTTACTAAGATATAGGGATTGCAAAATCCGTGTGTTGTGACAATGATTGAATTCCTGTAGATTGTTGTCCTGAGGACCGTGGTCGTGAATACGAATATAATAAAGGATATCCGTATCTAAGCACTCCAATACCACCAGATACAGACAGAGGTAAGAGAATGTATTCTATTCAATTATAAAAGCTTATTTTAATCGGTAAAATCGGGTTAACTCTATTCATGTTAACGTTAGAAGTTTTTAGATTCGTAGTTTTTCATTTCATTATTTATTTTTAAAATTATTTTTTCAAAATTTGGTTCACTTTGTTTTTGCGTAATTACGTTGTAAATCAGACTTTCAAATTGAAATTGAAATTGACTTGAAATTATCCCAACAGTCTCTTTAAGGTTAAAACACAGATTAGTATTCAATGTTATTTGTTGGACACATTGTTTCATGTCTAAAAGACTACACGGCATATATTTAGGAGCTCTATTTGAGAATGATAAAACTAGATGTTCCTGTGATAATAAAGGAATTTATCTCAAGACAGAAAGACTTCATGCTAATATTGACAGAGACAAGAAGTTCATGTAAGTTTTTTTTTTATTTACATATTACTTTGTATGGACTTATGGACTAAGAGAGATTTTCTTAAATATCAGCACTTTGTGACTATCTTAATTTTTTTATATAAATATATCTGATTTTAGCCTTCCATAGTAGCTTATTGTCTGATAATTTTAGTCTATACTAAGTTAAATGTTTTTAATCAGTCCAATTAAGTAAAAGAGAAAAAGGGATTATAATAATTAAAATTACTTTTGCCATCTTAAAAGTCTACTGCTACTCCTGCTACAGACTATACTTCAAGAAGAAAACATTGCAGCTTTTTGTTCATTTATCAAAGTAAAATCTTTCTTTGACTTTAACAAGAGGCCCATGAAGAAAACTTATTAATGTTGTTATTTTTAACAATTTAATAAAACACCGTATTTAAACATAGGTTTGAGTTGTGTGGAGATGCCCCTGTTGTGATTATATCCTTCTACTATGGATATATTAGTGAATATGGTTTAATAAATAAACGTATAATCTTCCCACAACGAGACTGTCCTATCACTACAACAACAACAACTACAACAACAACAATTAAACCTCCTAGACCATCTACCGTAACACCAGCAACAGCCAGACCTCAGGTCAAGGATGAGAATGGAAATGCTGTTGTTATCCCCTGGGCAAAAACAGCTGTGTTCCCTGATCCTGTAAGCTTGTTGAACAGAAACTTGAATAAGGTTGTTGGTATTAGTGTAGGAGCAGTTATTCTTCTTATTACTGCATTCTTTGCTTACTACTTGTACCGTAAAGGTAATTAAACTTTTATAATAAAGGGATTATTAACTTAATTTATATATACAAAGTGTTTGTCTGTCTGTTTGTTTGTTTGTCCGATCATAACTCAGGAACCCTTTGACCGATTTGCCTTAAATCTTTATTGGTGAACTCGGGAGAACCAAGGGAATTTTCTTAGTCTGGTTTTAGATTATAAGTTTAGGGTACAACTTTTATAGCGAAAATTTAGTTTCCCGGTAAAATTGACCAATTATTTTTCAATAATACTGCAATCACTCCCTTTAAACCGAGAAACCATACCTTAACACGTTAATTCTGCATACATACTCTAGAAAGAAATGATGAGAATGTCCCATTTTAGAATCAGAGTGGATCATTTGTGAAAAACAAAAAGTAAAAGTAATTATATTATTGGAAACTTATATTTATGACATTATTAACATTACAGTTTGCTTCAGTTTCTGACACAAAATATTTTCTTAGATTAATAATGCGTTTTTTAATTTGTAAATCTTAGAGATTAAACTATTTTTATGGGATATTGCATCTATTGTTGTTGTTTGTATTTTGTATCAAACAAACGTCAAAACGACTGAACCGATTGGGCCTAAATATTGTGTGAGACCTCACATAACCTCAAGAGAGATTTTATGGACCAACAAAATGAAAAAAAAATCATGTAAAATAGTCTAAATATTTTTTTGAAAATGCGCTAATTCGAAAAAAAATCAGTCAAAATTTGAGAATTATTAAAAATGACCGACTTTCGATCCAGGGCAACAGTTTTAAGCTAAATTATTTACAGGAAACCTAGTATCTTATAGGATATTCTATACTGTGTACTGTATAGGATATCCTATACTTTCTACGGTATAGGATACTGTATATATTGTAAACTAAAGAGACTGTAAACTGTATAGGATATTGTATATATTGTAAACTAAAGAGATTGTATACTGTATAGGATATTATTTTACAACAGAAGTTTACATATATTTCACAACAGAAGTTTACATATATTTTACAAATACAAGTTTAATATTTTACAAACACAAGTTTACATATATTTTACAAACTTTCTTGTTGCATAGTTTAAATTTTTGTGTCCAAAATTAATTTCGTAAAAACTTTTTTTGACTCAAATCTTTTCTCGTGATTCTAGGATAGTTTTATGGTCGGCCAAGATTGCAACTTTTTCCTTCAAATCTTTTTCGATTTTTACATTAAAACAAAGTGTATTAACATGTGCTGGGTATTTTGTATTGCTGTTTAATTGTACGAAGAAAAATTGCTCGCAAATCAAGCAACATCTAAATGTTTTGATTTTTTGGAAAGAGTTGCACGAAGCGTTCAGGAAACAAAGTTAATTTTAACTATACTTCCTGTAGTGCCCGGTGTTGCCAGTAGAAAGAAAATTTTTAATTTGTTGAAAAAATGTCAATTTTTTAGTCTATGTTACTCCCCGGGCACCCATGGGTTGCCTCGAAAAATTTCAGCCTATTCGGTCCAGCCGTTTGGACAGCTATAGCTAACATACATATAAATATACAAATATATATATATGAGCGAAGAAAATTTTTATATAGATTTATAAACACGATGAGGGAGAGATGGGAAGAAACTAGTATTTATTCAAGAAATCATGTGATTTACACAAATCATCTTCATATGTACTCTTATCAAGGAATCAAATATGCCCTAGTTCTTACAAATATATATTAGCACTGTACGAAACAGAGATGATATATCCAGAGAGAATCATAAACCTGTGGAATAGGAGGACGACATTTAAGCAATATTTAAAGTGTATTTGATGTTGTGCATAGAATCAATACTTTTCATAGTAGCTTAGAAATTAATTATAAAGTCAAATGATCTGTGAACACTGCGCAATTGCTGTGTGACATGCATATTGGACGAATCAGAATCATAAATATAAATTAAATGTTAAGTTGCACTTTAATTTTAGAAGAGAACAAAAAATAATAAAGAAAAAGAAAAAGATATTATTAAGAAGAACTAGCGTAAAGTAAAAAAAAAGAATCGAAAGATGAATATTGAAAATTAACTAGAATGAATTTATCTTGATAAACATAAACAATAAACTTTGTAATTAGAAGAGAAAGGGATTAATTAATATTTGAAGGAGAAGAAAGAGTAAAGAATAAACAGAATAGAGTAAAAAAAGAACTAGAGAAGTTCCGTGGACTAACTAGAACTATTCGGTTTCATCGATTTGAACTCAATAGCATTTTGGTCTATAAAAATAATTCACGGAGTAGTCTTTTTTATTTTTAATCATAAACGGATCCGCCGTCTATCTATAACAAGACATTCATATATATATGTTGCTTATAGCCGGCCAAACGGCTGGACCGAATGGGCATCACCAGGCCCTTGAGCTAGTAATATATATAAAGAGAAAAAAACGAAAAATTTATAATTTTATATGTGAAATATTGACCGAAAGTCATGGTTTGCTGAGACAATGACAGGGTTGTTAGTTGAGTGTGGAAGAATAAAAAAGGGAAATGAGAAATAACCCCTCACCCCTCACCACCCCATGTAACAGCAAAAACTAGCTATATATATAGATAATATAGATTTCCAGAGGGGATTCAAAAATGAATCAGAATCTAAAAAAATAAAGAAATTTCACGGAAGATTGAATTATTGCTAATATGCATTTCAATCTATACTCTTTGATGAAGAGCATATATTGAGATGAAAATAAATGTTTTGAATTTTTAATATGCTAGCTAATATGGTAGCTACCAGATAAAATTCTTTTCTCATACCATGGTGTAAAATCAAGGAGGAGCTATAACAGGGGCGTATTCATGGGGGGGCTATGGGGGCTAAGCCCCCTTGGACCATTGTGAAATCTATTGATTTCAGGTGGTTTTCAGGCCCCAACGAGAGCTGAGCCCCACCCCCTGGAAAGATAAAAAATTTAAGCCCCCCTGGACAAATTCCTGAATACGCCCGCATATTAAAAATTCAAGTTTTATAATTTTAAAAATTGCATTACATAAATATTACCTATATAAACCAAACTAGTACATGTTTGCTCCCCCCCCCCCCCGTCCTGTATAGACCACGAGAATACTGTGATAAGAAAATAAAGATGTGGTGAGAATTTCTCAATAATATTGTTTATATTGTATGTCCGCAATATTTTCAGGAAAACTTTTATGCGTAGTTGAGAGATGATATACCTACAATTGAAATTATTTATATAGTTTTATAACATTGAATTATGCATATTTCAGAAATACATATCTTCCACAAAAATCAACTTTTTGCATACATATACCATGGAAGGAATAAAGAACTTTATCAATTTTTGGCGACGCCAATTTTTTATGATGAACTTTCATTTTACAACAGAAGTTTACATATATTTTACAACAGAAGTTTACATATATTTTACAACAGAAGTTTACATATATTTTACGACAAAAGTTTACATATATTTTACAAACACAAGTTTACATATATTTTACATCATTTGATATTTCAAACTTGGAATATTTTACCAAAAGAATTCAAAGTTTGATATCTACGAGTACTCTATAAACTCTATAAATACAAATAAAATACAGTTCGGAACTTTTTTTTACATTAAATGTTTACAATAGCCTTTAGCCTTGAGAATTGAGAAAGATAAAAATATTTTTTTTAAAACTAACTATATAGTATAATAAAATTTCTACAATAACTCTATTGGTTTTATTATTCCTATGATGCTGATTTTCGCCATTCTTTCTTTCTTTTCATTCTGCAGGGGAGGGGGGGGCGCCCCCCTCTCAGGTGCTAGGGGAGGGCGCGCGCCCGGCCGCCCCCCCCTAGTTGCGCCTCTGGGGGGGCCAAATGTGCGCAAAGCTTTATATTTTTTTCTATGGGGGCACTGTCCCCCTTGCCTTTTCCTGTATATATATACGCACTTGGCAGTGAACAATATATTAATGCAGTAAAATTTTGAAGAATGGTACAAGTACTATAAAAATCTAAAGGAAAGAATAAATGAAAAAGATTGATGTAGAAGAGTTACGTAAATAATATGGAAGGGAATTCAAAGCTAAATTGCAGTTTTTAAAAAAGTTTGTCATAATTCCAGTACTTGCTAAAATACTGTATAGGATATTGTATATATTGTAAACTAAAGGGACTGTATACTGTATACTGTATAGGATATTGTATATCTTGTAAACTAAAGAGACGGTATACTGTATAGGATATTGTATATATTGTAAACTAAAGGGACTGTATACTGTATACTGTATAGGATATTGTATATATTGTAAACTAAAGGGACTGTATACTGTATACTGTATAGGATGTTATGAGCACAGTTTACCTCCTGATGAAGATGTAGAATATAAGGGTAAATAGGTAAGTTAAGTAAACTATCATCTATAGGAGGGGTTCCGTTCGTTAATCGTTATACATTAATAATTCAAACCAAATCACATGGCGCTAGCGCTACAGAGGCTTGTCAATTTGTTTTCTGTGTTGTTTAAATTAAAAACAAAAGTTCAATGCACAATAATCGGTATTTTAGTTACAGCACAAAAGACCTGGTCAATAATTATTTTATTTCTAGGAGTTATTATGCTGTGAGAAGTATCCATGTTACAGTCTGATTCAAATCGTGAAAATATCTTTTTTTGTGATTGTAAAATGTAATTTGATTTGTCATGCATCTTTAATAAATATGTTGGACACAGGAATGGTAATTTTGCCATTTCTGGGAGTTTCTTTTAAAATGTTGTCAACTTGGGAAAATAAAAATAATAATAAACAAAACTCATTAAAAATAGTATCTTTATTCGGCGTAGTCACTAATCTCAAATCAGCTTATCAAGAGAAGGGGGTGGGGGGATGTTTTGGCAACAACCCAGAGCTAGAAATTGTTTTTCATTTTCCGAATATTCATCATTAATCAAACTATTCTTCTTTCCAGCCATCTACGATCATCTTTTTCTTTTGCATATTAAAAATTCAAGTTTTATAATTTTAAAAATTGCATTACATAAATATTACCTATATAAACCTCATTTTAAAAAATTCGCGAAACCATTTTTTGCTGTAATAGATGAGTAGAAAAACTAAAGTGCGGAAATAATTTATTTCTATCACTCCTTAAAATTTTTAACAATTCAGATGATTAGTTTTAGAGAAAATGTACGAAATTAAATTGACAAAATCCCCAATTTTATTGTTAAAATAGTCGATAGAAGCGTTCGGACTCAGGCGCGTGCACAGGAATTAAGCCAGGCGCGAAGCATGAACATTTGTTTGCCCCCCCTGGCCTTAAAAATGCTGTTATTTTATATTTAGTCTACTACATGTCCCCTAGGTGGCCTATTTAGTATTCAAGGACTAAATATTACATTAGTTCTGTATTACTTTCTGAAGTCCTGAGTAGTCTCCTGAGACTACTCCCCTTTCTAGTCCACTGTAGTCAAAGGGTAGGTTGAGATTTTAGATAAAAGGGAAATACTACGGTAAAATTTGAAAATAAATGGTGCAAAACACCAAGAAAATTTTCAATTATACTTTTTAAGGGGGAAAACACCCCTTTGATGATGAGGGCAAGCTCTTTTTTTTACCCAGAACACCTGATTTTTACCTTTGCCCAAAAATCCCAGGCAAGAGGACTACTGCCCCCCCTGTGTACGCTACTGTTCGGCCTACAATAGTTCCTCAATTTTCAACAGAACAGAGAATAAAAAAAAATTAAAAAGAATAAAAATCATCGTAATGAATTTTGTTTCAAAAATAAAATTTCGGATTTTCTCTAAAACTACTCATCTGATCTGTGGAAGATTTTAAGGTGTGATACTCCTGCACTTGTTTTTCTACTCATCTAATTTTGAATTTTTTTTAAGGGTCTATCAGATTTCAGGGCTGATACAGGATTTAAGTGAGGGGGGTGCTAGATTTATTTCGAAACAAAATATCCAGATTTAGGAACCAAAAGACGCGCCGCAGGGAAATTTTTTTTTACTTAAAAGACTCAAAAAGAGTCGAAATTAAAGACTAAAGACTAAAAAGCTTGATTTCTAACTAACACATTAGTTTATTAAGAATCTGTGGGGGGGGGGGTGCAAAGGTACTGCTGCCCCCCCCTTGTATCTTCCCCTGCTATCAATTGCATATAAAAAATTCAAAATCTGCTGTATTATATGCAAGATCTCGCTATATTCACCCTTTTTTTTTGACTCATCCTGTAGAAAGTAAAAATCTCGTTTTTAAAGCTTAGAAGCCATATAGTTCTTCTTGTTAGTCTCATCTAGAGAAAATGAAAGAATCTGCCCTGTACTTTTTATATGTTTTGAAAGTGTTCTTACAGTATTAGCTTCTGTTAAGACAGTTTCTAAACCGAGTGCTGTGGGTAGAACAGGGTAAGGGGCCGAGTGCCGCGCCACATGTCCAACTTTGCCCATGTGAAGAAAATCTATGTTCAAAGCTGAAAGGAGGTGTGGGGGGGGGGGGGTCCAAAAAGCGTTCTCTAGGAAATACCAAAATTAACTTTTTTCATTAAGTTGTTCAGTTGTCTGTTAATTTCAGGTCAAATGGGTTAATAGCCCGATAGTACAGTTACTACAGTTTACTAATGAACAGGAGCGGACATTTTTATTTTCTATTTCATTTTATTTTTCATATTTGATTTATTTCGGATCACTTCACTGGAAAAAAGACCATCACAGGTTGCAATATCGATAATTAGAGTTTACAAAAAAAAAACGAAAAAAAAGAGCCCCGAGATCGTTAAAATTTAAAATTTGGGGGGTAAATCAAGAAAAAGGGGAAAAAATATTTAAAAAATTAGTTTACTTTATCAAATTGTTTATGAACTTGATCCGGTTCCTGATTTAGTTTTTACTATGATGGATCCAGGATCCGGATCCTGATTCAGTTTTTAACATGAATTCAGGATCCGAATCTGGATTTCCTGGATCAGGATTCGGTTTTAACATGATCTGGATCCAGGATCCGGATCCGGATTCATTTTTAGCATGATGGATCCAGGATCCTGATCCGGATTCAGTTTTAATATTATGAATTTAGAATCCGAATCCGGATTCAGTTTTTAACACGATGGGCTTAGCACTCGGATCTGCATCTCAATTAAATGTATCCTAATTATTGGAATAAGTTTGGTCAAGAATCTGTAAAATGATTCTAAATCGGATCACATAGTTCATTTTCAAAGTGAGACAAAAGTTAAAAACTTGGCAATTAATTCTTTAAAAGTTTTTCCACATGTGTTCTTCATGACATTTTTCATCAGTTGTTGCTTAATTTAAAACCCAGAATGTTTAATTAAAAATGTCCCGGGTTCATCAGACCGAGAATTGCCATCACTATTCTTCTTTTCTGCTACGGCGTCTGCTGTGTCAACAGGAATATATCAATCGATCAATCATTCAATTTATCAATCAATCTATCTATCAATGAATCAATCAATATATCAATCAATCCATCTATCAATCAATCTATTAATATATGAATTAATCTTTCAATCAATCAATCTATCAATCAATTTATCAGTCAATTAATCAGTCAATAAATCAAACAAAAAATACGTTGCTTACACATAACATTACGATTGATAATTTTGTAGAAAACCCAAAAAACCTAAGGCCTAAGATTATCCTGTGATCTATTTGCCTGCAGTACTATTTTAGTCAATTATTGTCAGTTTAGCTTTTTAAAATGGAATCTTCAAGTACAGGTGAGTTGTCTAAAAATATACCTAATTGTTAAGAAGATTTTGATTTGATTGTTGTTAATGTTTTATACACCACCAATTCAATAAACTTACAAAAAATGGTAAACTTCCGTAAAATATATATTATAAAAAAACAAGAATTAGACTCGGGTTTAATGTTAGATAGTCCAATGAATATATAATACTTAAAATTGATTTTTCAGCTAATGTTAAAACTGTAGCATTATAACAACATCGTATTCACAAGATTATAGAAATATCGTCTTCCTTTTATCCAGTTTTATGGGTGTTACTTTTGTAAAATAAAGCTAAACTAAGACTTTCTTTGTTTAAGATCAACCCGAGCTCCCCAGCACCATAGAAGCAGACAATATCAACGGTAAAGAGACATTTTAATTATTCAAGAAAACCATTTTTTCACTGTTCTTTGCAGCGCTTAGGATCCTGATCCGTTGGATCCACAGAATTTTTGAAATGGGACCCGGATCCGCATAAAAACGGATCCTGATTCAAGGGACAAAATATCAACAAAAGTCTGCATAAAAAAATTTTGCGTTTAAAAAACAGCTGTTAAATGTTGACCAATACATTTACTAATAAAAGCTTTATAATCTTCGGCACAAAAATAAGCGAATAAGAAGAAATTTTTTTTGAAATTTCTTAATTAAAAGATTCAGTAAATCTTTAAGAAATATTCAAGACCTGAATCCGTATACATTTTTTCAGAGCGGAACCGGATCCGCATAAAAATTAAATGGATGCCTTTATTCTTAAAAAAAAACTCTTTGTTAACTGGTAATTCTGGAGTAGGGTTAGTCTTAGTTTTTTAAACTTTAAGTTGATCACTAATAGATTAATAAAAACTTTCTAATCTTTAAGCACGGTATTAAGTTTCAGCAAAAAAAAACAAAGATAGAAGAAAGTTTTTGACAACCTTTTATTTGTTAAATTCTTGCAAAAATCCGGATCCATTTTGTTTTAGAATCTGCGAAACTTCAGAGTGATAATTCAGAAAACTGCAGCGGCAATAGCAGCAGCAGTAGTGACAGCAGCAGCAATGAAAGTAGTAGCAGTGGAAGCTGTGAGAGTAGCAGTGAAACTGAAAATTTACTTAAGAACCTTGGAACAGTTATTTCTCAATCTTTTTCTGAAAATGCTGAAAGATACACAAACCGGCCCCCATCAATTATGGCAAGTTTTGAAGCGGACTTGGGAAAACTGCCCTTGGAAGCCAACTCTGCGGAAGTGTATATACGAACAGTTCGTCGAACACTCGATACAACGGATATTATTAAGTGCGCTAAGGAGGATGTCCCTGATGTAGTTGTTGAGGGTGGTGTACCAGCAGTTCATGTTATGTCCCTCTTCCTGCTAGGACTAGTAGAGTTCCTTTGTGGTAATGCTCTGTCCATCCTTTCTCCGTTCTACACTACAGAAGCTGCTTCTAAAGGATTATCAGGTTTTATTTCATTCTTTCTCCTTCCTCCAGACAATTTCTCCTTCAATTTATTTCCTAGAATTTAGGAAAAAATTTGATTGGTTCCAATCAAGAAGGGCTAAAAACATCAAATTAGGAAATGAAAAGAAAAATATTAAAATAAATTTTCCAAAACTTTAAGCAGTAATTTCTAGTGACCCTTTTTTTTAAACAAAGAGTGGCATGTCTGATTCACAACAATGAGGAAGATATCATCGTTGAATTCTGACAATTTTCTGTATTTTATCTGTTGCATAAATCCGTAAGTCACTATTAAAAAGAAAACCAGAATTTATGAAAACCAATTTGCTAGAAAAATGAGGATATCTCCTAGTTCCTTGATCAGACTCAGGTTACCGTTGTGAATAGGACAAGATCGGGTTCCTGAAAGTTGTGTCTACACTCTTCAGTCCTTTTTACTTTACTGCAAACAAATAAATTTACATACACAGGGTAAGCGATTATATCAATACAAAGAAGACGACTTTTTATTTAAGTTTTGATTGATTTGTACTACAAGTTTACGAATAATCGAAGAGTAGCTTTGTAAAGTGACAGCTAATCTTGACTTCTATGTTGAAGTCTATTTATGCTGTTTAACAGTTTGATATTTATCACAATTGAAATCGAAAGTCGTCTTTATTATGTAATATAATCGCCTACCACTGTACCAAGACCCAGTAGACAGTTTCCACTTGGGAGTTCCAAAATGTGCGTTCCAAGTTAGGACGAAATTTTTCCACTTAAACTTTCTAAGATTTTTCTTGGAAGAAAATATATAAATCTATTAAAAAAATCTTTCCTAGTTACAGTGATAACCAGAAAACTCAGGAATATGAAATCTACTTTTAAACTAAAGTTATGACTTTAAATATTACAGTTAACATGAGGCACAGCGTGATTTTATAACTTCCTGTTAAAGCTATTTGCTTTGTAGCAACACTTCAGTTTTGCTTCAAAGTCGTTTTCATATTCCACAGTTTTCTGGTGTTCACTGTAGCAACACAGGGTTTATACGGTTTGTAAGAAGCCTTATTAAGCTTCTCTTTTATCTCTTATTTCCTTGTAAAGTAAATTTTTAGAAAAATAACAAACTGTATTTTATTTTGTTTCAGTGACTGCTAGTTCTGCTGTATTTGCTACCGTGTTCATTCTTCAGATCGTCTTTACTCCTATATTCGGACGATACATCACTAGTATTGGATCTATTCGTCTTCTAGTAGTAGGTTAGACACGCCCCCCCCCCNCCCCCCCCACTCTACCCCCGTATTAGGACGATACATTAATATTATTGGAGGGGTGTATATTTTCCTAAAAAATAATTTCCCCCCCATTTTTTAGGCTTTTTTTCGCTGAACTGGGGAAAATAAATGATTTAACAGGGAAATAAATGTGTGTGTGTTTTTTTTTGGGGGGGGGGGGCGTAAAAAGTATCAAAAATAATTAACTTGCATTTTGATGTCTCATTTTGTTCTGTGGAAAAATGATTGTTTCCCTGGAAAACTTTGTTATCATGAAACACGTGCAGGCTAAATACAGTCATGCAATCACATGGGTCTATACTGAAACAAGTTTAATATTATGCGTATTGTATATAACGTATGTATTCTCACTTATTTCTTTTCCGTTTTATTGTAAAAAAATCAAAAAAAACTTGGAACTGGAGAAACAATTTTTTAACTAAACATTTCATCAAGATGAAGGGGGGGGGGGGCTCGTAATAATAAGATGAGACTGTAAAGACGACATAATGGTTTAATTAAGTCTTCTGCCTTAAATACAGTCTTTTTATGACCTGTTATTTGTTAAATGGTTTTGTTAAGAGAGAAGCACGTTTGCAGAGAATCATGAAGGAAAGGAAACAGATCGTAATAAGTCCGTACAGTTATCTCTGAAGTGGCATCCTCTGTACGTGGGCAACCCTGTAGTTGCTGGGTTGGAAATAAATATATTTTTTATTCTCGGATGAATCAACAAATTGGAATTCAGTATAAATGTAATTTTTTAACACATTAAAAACAGAAACAAAAATCAAGAAATAAGAAGATAATCAAATTTGATTTTTGGTAATTTTATGCTTTGAAATCCTCACAAAAAAAGGAAAAAAATATTTCGAATTCTTTATATCTTACCATCAGTTATCATCATAAAAAGATTTTGCATTAATCCTTAAATATTAAATGAATGCGAATTGTGCTTCCCATTTGTAATGTTGGCACAATTTAACTCCACACCGGTCTTACAAAGTTGACATGTGAAGTGACAGTAATTTATATCATGCATAGTGCATGCATCAAGCATCTGCATATGTTCGTACTTTACTCAGGGTGGAATATTTTCCTTTAAATTCCCCCCTCCCTCTCTCTCTCTTAGAAAATCATTTATTTTCCCCATAATTTATGTATGGCTGCGCGGCGCGCCAGCTTTTTTTCTGCTGAATTGTGAAAATAAATGATTTTTTTATTAAAAAGTATCAAAAAGAATGAAAAAACTGGCCTTTTGATGTCTCATTTTTCATCCCCCCGCCCCCCTCCCCAATTAATCAAAAATATGTAATTCTAAAAAAATATGCACCTTGACTGCTTAGTTAGTCCTTCTCTAAATTTATTTATAATTCAACATCTAAGAAATTAAAAGTTTAACTGAGTCCTTGAAAATCTTGAGTGTTTTTTTCTCTTGTAAAACTCCACGCAAAGTGTGTGCTTAACTGTTGCAACGAAATTGAACTTACATAAATTACATATGTTTTTACTTTTGCCCCACCTCCCTCCCGAGCACACAGGGAGGAAATAGGAAATTATTATTTAGTTTTAGGGGAAAAGGGGAATGAAAAACACTACTTTACTTTTAAAGTTTTTCATTCATTTAAAAAAAGTTATTCCTTATTTATTTTTCCTACACAAACTCATTTTTTTTTCAAAAAAATCACTGTTTCCCCAAGAGCTTAATATCAGCGATTAAATCCTAAAACGACTAAATCTGAACATAAGAATTCTAAAGGAAAGAGGGAAAAAATTTTTCTAATCAGTTATTTATATTTCAAATGTTGTTTGTGGAAAATTACAATTTTCTTCTTTTTATTAGAATAAGATTTTAAAAATATATATTTTGAATTATATAATGTATAATGGTACAGAGCGTCCCATATGATATTGAATTATCTCAAAGCGTTAACGCCATGCGCACTCAAAAAACCTAGTATTTACAATTTTTGATGATTTATTCTTTCTAAATTTAGAGCTCTAAACGATCCAATATAATATAGAACACCTTGTATAAAAATAATCAGTACTTTTAAGTATCTGAAATATTTTATTAAAAATAAAGAATAAAGACGTTTTAGTTTTTTTGTCGTATTTATTTATAATAAAATTATAACATATGTTTTAATAATTCACATTACATTAAATTAAACAATTTTACAAGATTTTTTATTTTATTTTCGGGACAAAGAGTAGTGCTTACTTCATAATAAAATTTATTATTTTGAATTAATAATTAAAGAATTGGAAAAGTATATGATATGTTATGTTCCATTGGGCTGTTAGCTAAATGTAAGTAATGTATTTAAATAATAATTATTTGGAAGATTATTTTTAATTTCGTGAATTCGCTAAAATTGTGTTGTTTTTGGTTTAAATTCATACACAAGAGAATAGTTTTGATCAAAAAACAAATTTTTGATAATTTTTTTGTTTAGGTTCCATAGTTTCTGGTTTGGCGAACATCGGATTCGGATTCGTGTCCGATATTAACGATGGTAAGTTTATCGCACCGTGCCTCCTTGAATTACTTTTTTGCGGATGTTCGTGAAGTTTCGTTACCTTGCTTTGGATCTTGGAATCAAAAAGTTTTTCTCTGTTAGATTTAATTTTCAGTTTTTGTCTGATAAACGATCCATAAATTGGCCTAACTTTTTTAATAAGTTTATAGGCAATAATTAATTACTTTCTAATTCCCGCTTAAAATAAAATTTCACTCGCTCCTTTAAATTAGAATAACAATAATTTGATTTTGAATTATATTTGATTTTTTTGGCTGATTTCTTTTATGATAGAAAATGTTTAAACCTCGGTAATAAAACGGATTGAAATTATTGTATTTTAGTTCAACTGTTTTTCTGGATCAGTATCCTTATGCGTAGTATTACAGCTCTCGGAGAATCCGCCATCAATACTGCTGTATACCCACTTGCTAGGTACACAATATAAAACCATGATTAAAGTAACCCTTCACACAAATTGCAAAGGACAACGGTACCTTTGAAACCATAATCTATTCAAACATGAGGAAGATACCGTCGGTCGTTTTTCTGACTCGAAAAGTATTAATATCTGATCATTTCTTATAAGTATTAATGCAATTGCAGAGAATTTACAAATGAAAATAAAGAACTTAAAGAAACAAAAGCAAGATATCTAATTCATTCTTGATCAGACAAGCTTTTAAGGGTACCGTTGTAAATCTGGCATTGCCATCTTTGCAAAGGTCACTTGAAATTGAGCATACAGTCCCATTAAACAATCCACATTTGAAAAATTAGGAATTTTAAAAAAATCAGATACTTAATCTTCATGTGTGATGTTATTTTAATTAACTAATACAACAAATTCTTGTCTAAATTGTTTAGATTTCCCGGATTACGTTTCGTACCTCCTCCCCCCCCCCCTTTATTTATCTTATTTTGGTTTAAATTTAGTTTTTTAAAAGATCTTTTCTACTGAAAATTGCATTTTAATTATCATCATTTTGTGAAAGTAATCTTTAATTGAACACTTAAGTTTTTAAAACATTTAAAAAAAGAATTTAGATATTAAATTTCAAATTCTATTTAGTTTAATTTTTAGAAGTATGGCCCCTGCCAAGTATGCATCTACTGCAATGTCTTGTATGGAAACATCTTTCGGTCTTGGGACCATGATGGGACCATTCCTTGGAGGTAATTATAATTTAAGGGGGAAGGGGGGACCATGATGGGGATATTACTTAGATTAGGTAGCCAGTGGTTATGGGGGATTGGGGGGGGGGGGGGGGGGTTTCCAGGTGTGCTTTTCGATACATTGTAGATGTGCTTAATAAACTATTTCTATGTGTACTCAATAAACTTATATTCTAAGAGCTTATTATACTGTACTTAATGAACGTTTTCAGGTGTCCTCTATGAGCTTGGTGGATTTTATCTTCCTTTCCTGTTCTGTGGAATAATGCTCGGTAAGTTCTATTTATTTTTTAATCGTGCATTTTGTTTCTTATACTCTTAAAGGGGTTAATAACATTTTATCAAACGCTCAAAATACCACAATTTTTTAATTTCAACGAACTAATCTTAACCCTCAAAAATGTCCCTAAAAGTGTTGGAACAATTGATATTTGTAAATACGGTAAAAGTTGGCGTTTTTTGTCAGAAAGCACCGTTTTCTTTAGAGATCCTGAATTTTAAAATAGTTCTTTGTGATGTATTGAATATTTGATTTCAATTAAAAATCATTCTAAACTTCAGAAACTTAATAATGTTCCTAATTCTAATTTTTATTATTATATGTAGTTTCAAACTTCTCTTTGATGAAGGTTTGAGTGGTATCGTGGCTGGTCTTCTCATATACTGCTGGATAGTGAAGAAGGAGCAGGGAGGAGGAATTCTTGATTTCGTTCCTGTTCGGGTCAAATACAGAGACGTTATCACGGTATTGAATAAGATTAAGTAACAAATAGGGGGGGGGGTGGTATATAAACAGTTTATATTACACCAGGGGATCTTAGAACTTGCCCCCCCCCCTTCACTCGCTCGGATGTAATGATGGATGCGAATTAATCTTAAAATTATTTCAGAAACCTGGAGTTCTTATTGCCTCCATAGTTCTTATTTTCTCAGGTATTAATACTTGGATCATAATTTTAAATTTTGCAATTGATTTATTGATTAAATGATTGAATTTTTTAATGTTTGAATGTTTGAATGTTTGAATGCTTGAATGCTTGAATGCTTGAATGCTTGAATGCTTGAATGCTTGAATGCTTGAATGCTTGAACGCTTGAACGCTTGAACGCTTGAATACTTGATAATTTGATCGATTGATTGATAGATTGATTTAATACATGCACTGATTGATTGATTGATTTCTGAAGGAATGAGCACACAATGGTATCAGCCTACAATGGAACCCTACCTCTCTTCTCAATTCAACATCTCTCCGTTCAAGGTAAACAAATAAAATCAGATATTTACAATAGTTCACCATCCTTGCCATAATGGAGCGAGGACGTATCATGCTGCTTGTTGATGCGCCTGTTCCCTAAATAAGGACTGGAGGTCCCATGTCGGGTTCCCTTTTAAATCATTACATTAATAATACTTAAAATCTATTTTAAAAACGAAAATAATCAAACTGAAACCATATTTTATTGCTGACTTCTTATTGCACCAAGGGGGGTTTTATGTAATAGACACTTTCTGGAAAACTCATTAAATAAATAAATGAATTTGTTGGTTACTGTTATAAAAAAAGGGAAGAAGAACTTGTTATTTTTAACACAGATCTTTAAAAACATTCCTCCGGGTTCTTAGGGGTAGGGGGGTGGGGTTGAGGATTCAGATCACAATTTATACTCTTTCTGGAATTAGATAGACAAATATAAGAGTATTTAGTATGAGTATTTGGAACAGATGAACCGAATGGGCTGAATGAATATATTTAGGACGAGCCTGTTCCTTGTTATTGATGGAGCTGTGTATGCTGTTATATCTCCAGTATATATTTTAGGCGAGCCTGTTCCTTGTTATTGATGGAGCTGTGTATGCTGTTATATCTCCAGTATTTTAGGCGAGCCTGTTCCTTGTTATTGATGGAGCTGCGTATGCTGTTGTATCTCCAGTATTTTAGGCGAGCCTGTTCCTTGTTATTGATGAAGCTGTGTATGCTGTTATATCGCCAGTATTTTAGGTGAGCCTGTTCCTTGTTATTGATGGAGCTGTGTATGCTGTTATATCTCCAGTATTTTAGGCGAGCCTCTTCCTTGTTATTGATGGAGCTGCGTATGCTGTTGTATCTCCATTATTTTAGGCGAGCCTGTTCCTTGTTATTGATGGAGCTGTGTATGCTGTTATATCTCCAGTATATATTTTAGGCGATCCTGTTCCTTGTTATTGATGGAGCTGTGTAATGTGTATGCTGTTGTATCTCCAGTATATAATTTAGGCGAGCCTGTTCCTTATTATTGATGGAGCTGTGTGTGCTGTTATATCTCCAGTATTTTAGGCGAGCCTGTTCCTTGTTATTGATGGAGCTGTGTATGCTGTTATATCTCCAGTGTTTTGGGCGAGCCTGTTCCTTGTCATTGGTGGAGGTGTGTATGCTGTTATATCTCCAGTATATATTTTAGGCGAGCCTGTTCCTTGTTATTGATGGAGCTGTGTATGCTGTTATATCTCCTGTATTTTAGGCGAGCCTGTTCCTTGTTATTGATGGAGCTGTGTATGCTGTTATATCTCCAGTCTGGGGTCTACTCCTGGATAAACGAATGGATGTTAGGTTAGGATTTAATTTCCCAAAGACAATTTACCTGCTTTAGTTTGAATTTGTGAAACAAAGGAATCTGACATCCTGCCGTAATCTCCCTGTTCTCTAAAGGTTTCTGTATATTTAGCAAACTCCGGGAGATAATTTTACGATTTAACTTATTCCAGTTTTTCCTACTTTCCGCGATTTTTATAGTATTCTTAAAATTCTGTTAGATATTAGATACTGGGAGATACACAACTAATGAATTGTTAATTATTTATACCCTTAAAAGCTTTGTCTTATCAAGTATGAATTAGATATCAATGTTTGTGTTCCTCTAAACTGTTAATTTTCATTTGTGGTTTCTCTGCGAAAGTGATATTCGCAATTTTTATGCAATGGAGAATTTACACTTTTTTGAGTATCTTCCACATTTTATCAGACTACGGTTTCAATGGTACCGTTGTGAATCGGGCATTGCCATCTTTGCATGGAGGATCGCTTAAAATTATGCTTACTGTCCTTCCCGTATATTTTTTACGCTTTAAGGGACTGCAGAGTGAAGAATAAAGGCTTTATGTTAAGTGACCCTCCGTTTGTAGGATGGAATTTACAATAAACAATGGTACCCTTAGAAGTTTGATGAAGAATGAAATAGATATCATTCTTTTTCTTTATTTTCAATTTTTGTTTGTTTATGGAGTCTTTCTATTCCATAAACAATGTAGGAAATTGGTAGAATTTAAAAATTCCCCTTCACTTGATTATACATGACAGTCCATGTTTAAGAATAAGGTCTTATGATTTGATACAGATGTACAATCAACCTGTCATATATATACATAATAAAATTAATTAACAAAAAATAAGTTGAGTATTAACAATGGTTTTGACATTTGTTTTGATAAACCAGTTTTAAATCATAAATGTAAGGAAAAATTTCTGAGACACTACAAATCCCTTCCTTGAAGATCTATCTATAATCATTATTATCAAAGAACAAAATCAAAGAAAGAAAGAATTTTCGTAAAAAATGTGGAATATCAACATTCATCAGATAGTTCGGGTACAATGTCTAAGACACGCATGGACTGAAAGATGGAGCCGTAATCATATCCAAGAGAAATCCGTCTATGATTTTTTTTTAAATGTATAAATATATATAATCTTAACAAAATGACAGGTAAGAAACCCGGTGTTTTAGGGTTCTGTTAATGCTTGGGAGTGGTTTGATATCCGTATCTTTTATCATCCTTGGACCAGTTTTTCTTCCCCTTGAGGCGTCATTAGCTCAGGTGATTTCCAGAATTTAAAAATGGGTTTTAGATGTTAAATAACTTTTTTCATTTTACATTATTTTTTCATTTATTTCCCCTAATGTTTAGCAAAATTGAATAACCTTCTTCAACATAAATGAAAATATTTTTTTTTGATGACAGTGGTTTTCTTAATGAAATCTATTCTTTTTTAGGTTGGAGTTTCAATGGGAGTACATGGTTTAGGAATGGGGGCTAACTTTATTGGTAAGATACATTTGATTTATTTATTAATTTTATTTCAGTTAGCTATTTAAAGAAAAGCGGATTAAATGATTAATTGATTTTTTTAGTGACTGTCTCACTGATATATAGATTGATAAATTGAGTTATTGATTGATTGATTGTATAGGTACCCTGATCCTCCTGACCAGAGAAATAGAGAAAGGAGAGAATGTAAACAAAGAGCAAGCCCAGGTACAGCCCCTTTACTAACCAACTATCCATTATCCTTTCCAGTCCCTTTCTTAATATCCATCTATCCAACATAGTCTCATAACTAACTATCCATCTATCCTACACAGTCCTTTACTTACCATCCGTCTATCCTTCACAATGTCTTTACTAACCATTTATCTATCCTTCACAATTTCTTTACTTACTATGCATATATCCTGCACAGTCCCTTTACTAACTATTCATATATCCTACACAGTCCCTTTACTAACTATCCATATATCCTGCACAGTCTCATAACTTAATATCCATATATCCTGCACAGTCCCTTTACTAACTATTCATATATCCTACACAGTCCCTTAACTAACTATTCATATATCCTGCACAGTCCCTTAACTAACTATTCATATATCCTACACAGTCCCTTAACTAACTATCCATATATCCTACACAGTCCCTTTACTAACTATCCATATATCTTACACAGTCCCTTTACTAACTATCCATATGTCCTACACCAGTCCCTTTACTAACTATCCATATATCCTGCACAGTCCCTTTACTAACTATCCATATATCCTACACAGTCCCTTGATTGATTATTTATTTAAAGGGTCTAGCTACCAGCTTGTGGATCACTAACGAGTGTATTGGGAGTTTTATTGGATCTGCATTAGGTAAGGGCAAAACCCTTTTTTGTAATTTTGATATTTCTTATTAATTTTTCTATTTTTTTGCTTTAACATTAGCCAAATAGTATGAACCACTTCTTCTTTTCATTTTTCTATTTTTTTGCTTTAACATTAGCAAAATAGTATGAACCACTTCTTCTTTTCATTTTTCTATTTTTTTGCTTTAACATTAGCCAAATAGTATGAACCACTTCTTCTATTAATTTTTCTATTTTTTTGCTTTAAAACTAGCCAAATAGTATGAACCACTTCTTCTTTTCATTTTCATAGACTCTTTCTTTCTGAACATATCATGCATATTAAATTTATAAAATTCTCAACAAACAGATTAAATTAACGTAATTAATGTAATAAAAACAATTATGATATGTGTTAAGGTGGGTTAACCTATGATAAGATAGGTTGGGAGTACAGTTGTCTAGTTATTTCTCTAATTCAATTTATTGGACTCATTCTTTGCCTCTTCCACAGGTAAACCTTCTCTACAGTCTACATTCTCTACGTTTTACCAAAATAGGAGAGGTTAAAAGGACTGTGGACAGAATTTTAAGTGACCCTCCATTGGTATGTCCGATCCACATTGGTACCCCGTATTAACCTTTTCGGATCAAGAATGATTCTGGCTGAAAATATATGATTTTCCATTGTGGTTTCTCTCTACAAAGTGACGAACAGATTTATATACAGCAGAGTTATTGAAGACTATTTTGAGAATCTAACATATTTTAAGATAGGAAAACGAATATATCTTCCTCATTGTGAGAAACTGACATCCCACTTTAAATGGAGGGTCATTTGAAATAAAGTCAACAGTCCCTTACACGAATTTGAATTCAAAAACTGAAATGTAAAAATAATTTTTGAATCTACGGTGGGCGGTTTGCATCAAAGGGGAGGGTGAGTTTGACCAATTTGAAAACATTTAGAAATACTGTCTTCATTTTTTGAGGAATCTGAATGAAATTTTACATATGGGTTTCTTTTAAGAAAATTAAAAATAAACATTTGGAAAAAAATATTCCCCCCCCCCTTTCCTATTTTTCCATGTTTTTTAAAGCTCTTTCACCAAAAAGTCTAATTCAAATACCAACTAGATGTTATAAACACTTACTTGTAAGTCAAGAATCTCATTACCAACATCAGAACGAAGTTCAAGGTTTTCAGAGTCCTCCTATTCCCCCCCCCCCCCCCTATTTTTATCATATTTTCCCACTGTGTCAATATTTTCAGATTTTCTGGATTCATGGATTCATTTTTCATCGAAAATTTAAAAATCTTTTGCACACAGGCCTCAATTGGATAGTATTATTGTAAAAAAAAATGAAAAGGCGAATATTTTTTTCTTCCCCCCTTTTCTCACTCCCCCACTTTTTAATTTGATCTGAAAAACCTTAAACTTCGTTCTAATGTTAGTTATGAGATGCTTGACTTCCAGGTAGATGTTTAAAACACCTAGCTTGTCTTTGAATCAGACTGTTGGTAAAAAAGCTTTATAAACATGGAAAAAGAGGGAAAAAGGGGGTAAAAATGTTTCTCCCTTTTTATTTTATTTTACAAAATCCAATTGAGGCCTGTGGACTAAAGATTTTTGAATTTTCGATGAGAAATGAATGAATGAATCCAGAAAATCTGAAAATATTAACATAGTGGGAAAATATGATAAAATAGGGGGAAAGTGATCTATTAAACCTTAAACTTCGTTCTGATGTTAGTAATGAGATACTAGACTAACAGGTAAATGTTTAAAACATCTAGCTGGTATTTGAATCAGACTTTTTGGTGAAAAAGCTTTAAAAAACATGGAAAAATATGAAAATTTTATTTATCAAATTTTTTTATTTTTCCTAAAAGAACAACGCTCAAAATTTCATTCAGACTTTCAAAAAATGAATTCAGGATTCCCAAATGTATTCAAATTGGTCAAAGTCACCCTCCCCTTTTCTTCACAAAATTTTCACACGAGTCATTGATATACCAACTGGTAAACGGTAATTAACCTCTAGTTTTTATTCAGAAATCTAGCTAATTGTAAACATATGTATTTTTATGCTTCATTAGAAAAGTAAATTATAAGTATTTTGAAATCTTTAAAAGAAAAACAAGATTTTTATGAAAATTAGTTGAAACCAAGAAGGAAAACGAGCATCATCTTGAAGTTTTTAATGTGGACGAGTACTTTGAGGCTGAGAATTTGATTGGAATATTTTATATATGATTTTAAATATTCGATTTAACTTTAAAGCGCTGGCTTGTTGAAATTATTGTTGGAAAGGAAAAATACGCTAGACATTCAGGCCGTCAAGAAAAGTCCTTAACTTGGAGAGGAATGAAATGAAATAGAAATTTCTCAAGTTGAAAACCTTTATTTAGCCAATACGCATACAATGAACATGTAGGCACATAACATAACAAGGAAGGTTTATGAATGATAAAAATTTTAAAGAAATGTGTTTTAAAGCTTTTTAATTTTATAAAAAAAAATTAATTCTTGAAAATCCGCGAATTTTTTTTTTAAATCCGCAAAAAAAGTTTCTTCCTTGTTTTAAAGTGTAAACAAAAAGAACCTAGTTATAATATACTCCAGTGTACTAGGTTTTATAACGTTTTCATGTCCAGTTTTTCTCTTATTTTCCCCAAACCTTCAAAAATCAACCCCCCCCCCCCATTAAAAATTAATATTATTTCTAGGGTAAAATTTTACATTTCGACCAGCCATACATTTTTCCTTTGATCATAAAGTTTGGATCCGATCGATTCAGCCGTTTTCACGCTTATTGGATACAAACAAGGCAAATTTTTATATAGATATAGATAGATAGATAGGTAAATGTTTAGGGAAGAAAACGTGACTCTGATACAAAGAATGATTGTCAGGGTAGGAAAGATTGAAATATGAGAAATTCAGGGGACATTAAAAAAAAAAATTTTAGGATTTAATTTTTTACACCACCCCCCCCCCCCCCTGTATTCACAGTTCTCCTTCGTTATATTTTTTTCATGGTTTCCCAGTTAGCAATATGGGAAAAAGGAAAAATCTTTTAATTTATTCTTCTTTTTTTTCATTTTAAATTTATTTTGTTGCAATCATTAAAATTATTAGTAAGAGTCATTTCATTCTTCTCATTTAAAATTTGATGTGGATGATGATCTAAAGTAATTACTTGATCCACATTTTTTTGAAAATATATTTAGATCTGGGTTGACCCACTTCAGTTTTAACGATGACCGCGCAAATCTCTTTCTTTAGAATTTTTTAATTTTTGTTATTTAAAATGCCGGTTCGCCATTGATGTTTCATTTTATTGTCTGAAAAATAATATCTAAAAAAAATTAACATCAGAAATTTTTCAAATTATTCTTATTAGTTAATTTTTTTTTGTCTTTCATCCACATCTAGAAAACCGGGCACTGTACATGTTAAATAGTTTACTGTACAGTGTACAGTGTGCGATTAAATGGTTTAATGATGTATTATATTTAGGGTTTCCAATCGGAATTCCGTCTTGACATGTTTTGTTTTTGAAAGTTTTTCTTCTCTTACATGTTTTCTTTGGTTTAATGATTTATTAGATTTTATTAATCGTCTTTGTTTTTTAATGTTTTTCTCCTTTTTTTCTTTTAAATGGCCCTTGAATTTCTCAAGTTTTTTAAATAGATTTAGTTTGTTTGCTATTAAATCTTTTTTTGTTGATTTTTTTTATCAAATTCAATATTTTTTTATAAAATATTTCTTTATTTGGTATATTATTCTATTTTTTTCATTGGATTATAGAAATTTAAGCTAAATTTTTTAATTATGGTTTTTTCTTCGTATGAACCATTTTTTAAGGTTTTTTATGATTTAAAACATTTTAGCATGAAAGATTCTACATATTTTCTTCTATATATTTTAAATACCAATTAAGGGGTTCTCAAGAATATGATAATTAAGTTTCGGATTTAGATGTTTCCTTGATCTTTGATTTGTATAACAAAGAGCATGCAGATAATAGAAATAATACCCATATTTATTTTTCTTTTTTGGAACTCCCTTTTTCAACTTATGTGATATGACTGTAATTCATATTTTCAACACCTCATGTCATTTTAATGTTCCAGAGGTTGGTACAAATTAGAAAAGTTTTTGTAAGTTGTGTTTGTCTCAAATGTCTTCAGTTCAATTTGGACGGGCTCATCAACTAAATTGGAGTCTACATTAATCCAAAAAACTATCTTTCATTATAAATTTTATTTTTTCAAATTCTATTGTTGTCTTCATTTCTCTTGTTGAGAAGGTTGAATTTGAATATGATGTATCAACGTGACTATGTATCTATTTATATTAAGAGAACCATTAACTATTCACGAGGCCATTAACCTTTATCTGAATAGCGATGGTATAAAACTTTACTTTATTCTACCAATTCTTGGAAGAATCTCATTTCTCAATCTTTCGTATAGAAACTCTTCAAGTCGCTTTCAGGAATTTTCCCGTAGGCGGGGGCTTACCCTTTTCTGATTTTCTGGGGGCTGGGCTAAGCCTCAGAGCCCCCCCCCCCCATGTTTACGGACTTTGTGGTTGGCAGTCTTCAAATGATTCAATGGCACACGTGACGTAATTTTGTGGAATCCATCCAGTTAAATTTTTGCACGAAGCACGGATTATTCATAATTTGTGTTTCTTAATTTAAATAATTTTGTTTTAAACGGATTGCTAATTTTTTTTACTTAACTTCAGATATAGTTTGGTTTGCATGAAAAAAGCTACAAATAAATTCATAATTTCCAGTGTGTTATCACTGCAAGAAATATGTATTAGATAGTTTATGGACGATCATAGTGTTATAATGTCGTCTTCATTTTTCACAGTTTTCTAGCTCACACTATATGATTTTCTAGAGTGCTGGACGGGTTAAGAAGGAAAAAACAGGATGCGGAAAAGGAACCTCTGATAAGAAACTCCAAACCTTCCTACGGTTCAAATAATNAATTACTACTTAACCGGGAGTTTTCATGAGGATAATTAAATTGAGGGGAAAACCACTTAGCCTTGGGCCTCCTCGACCTTTTTGGGGTTCTAAACCTCCCTCGCTACGCTCGTGAGGTTTAGAACCCCAAAAAGGTCTTGGAGGCCCTCGGCTAAGTGGTTTTCCCCTCAATTTAATTATCCTCCCTTAATCTCCCGGTTAAGTAGTAATTAATAGTTATAATTCCTGTTTTTATATTTACAATATAATATCTGTTTATTTGCCCTGTACAGAATACAGGGAGTAACAAAAGGCATGAGACTGTCGTGAAAATTAAGTTTATTGAATAAGATCTGAATTTTGCCCACGAAACCATGGGGCAACAATTATTTTTTTCATGTTCTACAATCTACATTGTCTCATACTTTTTGCGGCTCCCTATAATTAAATTTAGAATGTAAATATTATTTAATTCAAATTGTAATTCTTAATTTATTTAAGACGATTTTCCTTAATTTGGGGATTATACTTATACATTTAGATTGTAGATTTCAAATATATAATACAATTTTTTAATATTAATTTAAACCATTTAAGACCCAAAAACGAGTCATATTTCACGTGAAAGCATTTACAAAGTGTTTTTGTGCTGCGTCTGCATATAAGAAATTTATACGGTGGTAGGCGATTATATTAATAAATGAGGTATTTTTATTTAACTTTTGATTGTTAACAAGCTTTTTTTATTACAATATAAAATTGATCTATCTAGACATAAAGCTGCACAAGTTTAGGAATTTGTGAGATTAAGAAGAACAAAAGTTAAAAACTTTGTTATCATGGCGAGATTTTCGAATAAAGACTTGGTGGATGTGAAAGCCAAATATCTTTAATTGGAGATTAGAATGCTGGACTTGGAGACAGAAACTTTTGAGGGGTTTGGAGGCCATTCTGCAAATCTGGAGGTTATTTCATGGGGCTCCCTACTGTAACTGAATGGGTACAATCGTGCCTTCCCTTCCCTGTAGGAATACAAATCATTGTCAAATTTTAAACAATATCTGCCCTATCTACAGTGGTAGGCGATTATTTCATTACAATGAAGACGACTTTTGAATTAAATTTTGATGTATACCAATCTGTTTAACAGCATGAATACATTTAAACATAAAACATTGTCAAGAGAAGCCAACAATTAAAAAAAAAGCTTTTCATTGATTATTTGCAAACTTGTAATTCGAATAAAGCTTAGTAACAATCAAATTTTTAGAAAAAAAGTCGTCTTCATTTATATAATCGCCTACCACTGTATATGATGGCTCTTCGCATTTATATATAATTATATGTTAGCAATAGCTGGCCAAACGGCTGAACCAATTTGGCTAACATTTTTTGAGGGAATCCATGGATACTGCCCCCCGCTAAAAAATATAATTTTTCATTAATATTTTATTTTTATCTCAAATTTGTTCCAGAAGTATAATTTAAACCCCAGACTAGATTTAGTCGTTTATTTCCTACACCGTTTATTATTTAATTATCGTTTAAAAAGTTGAATGATTTTATTCAAGGATTTATTATTATTTCAAATGCTTGCAAGGCTATCAATAAATAGATTTAAGAATTAGAGCGGTGATATTTCTCCAAAAGAATGAAAAATATGGTAAGTATTGTGCAACTGTTTACTGTGTTATTTATATGATAAACTTAAAATTACAGCGGATCAATTTCAATAAAAAGTTGGGGACCTTATACTAATATATCTCTCAATTGATCAGACCCAATCTTAATGAAATTTGAGGATTGGATAGCAAACGTATATTTTCACATTTTTGGTTTACTTCAAGTTCCATATTGACGGGGAAAAGTTTCGTGGAAATGAAAACGACATTCATTCACAGTTGTTTTTGACTCTCTCTGTAACTACTATAATTAAATGAGTAGAAAATAATATAAATAATATAAAATTTCTATCCCTGCTACTTTGGTAAAATCTGAATAGGTCAACTGAGTAAGTTCGGAGAAAATGCGCGAATTTAAATTCAGAAAATCAGCTTATAATTATATATGTGTGAATAATATAGATAGACAAAATAATATAGATATACAAAGATATTAGGATAAGAATCTCTTTTTATTTTTGAAACCTGTTTTACATATTTACAAATATTAGAAATTCAAGGCGCTTCGCTCCCTTCTTTCTAGCCTTAGAGGGCGCTTCGCGCCCATCTTCTATATTAGTTGTGAACATGTTCTCTTTGTGTACATCGTAAAACAAAACAAAAATAATTCGCGGATTTTCAAAATTTTTAAAAATTTAATGACGATCGAATTTTGATGGAGACAAATATTTGAAATTTTGATTTTTTTTTCATAAACCTTCCCTGGGGTCCCTAGATGTCCCACAAAAAATTTGGGCCCGATCGGTTCAGCCGTTTTGACGTTTATTGGATACAAACAGACAGACAGACAAGCCAAATTTATATATAGATATAGCATTTTAAAAACTGAGTTATTAAGCATATATTTTGAATTCCCATATAACAGAAATTATATTGTACTGAACATGAACATAAATGAAGTGTAAAAGAACTGAATAGAAATTTATTGTTAGTGGTAAGTGTTCATTTCTTTTTCCAATCCATATCTCAATTCCAATCTTTGCAACCTAGTGGAGTTAACCTTAGAGGGGGACATTGTGTCACAAACTTAAATTTTCTAATCCTTATTTCTTTCAAACCTGATTGCGTAACTATTTTAACATGGGAAGATAAATTCAGAATATCCGCAATTTAGATGTTGAATGAGTAATTTTAATGATTTTTTTCTTTCAATATTTTTTTTGTAAATGAATTTTAAGATATGTAAAATGTCTGAATAATAAAAATAGGAAAATATAAGTTGTCCAATTCTCTTCTATTTTTCTATTAAACGAATTAACACAATATTTCTACATACTCTTTATTTAAGATATGCTTACATTAACTTATTGATAGATTTATTTAGCTAAATGCATTTATTTACATAATATTTTTTATTTCTTGAAAATATTAAATAAATTATTAAAACAAATTCTTCATATAAATAAAATAAATAAAAAATAAAAATATAACCCTTCCCTAATAGTAAAATATATTATTAAAATATATTATTAAAATATATTATTAAAATATTCTAAATATAATCGACGGCTCTTTTGGCAGTATAACATCAGATCTTAAATTAATAGTGTTGCAGGAAAAAAGTACATTATTTTCACCAGTATTTTAGACGCACATAAGTACATGATAAGTACATGATAAGTACATGATAAGTACACAATAAGTACTTGATAAAACAAGTTGTTGTCCATTGTACACAGTACAATAACAATCAAAATAAAACAATTAAACATTATTTTTTCTTTTAATACAAACATTTTGTACAAATATTATGCAGTGTTTCTGTATGTTCAAGTAATAATGTACGTTTAAATTTTTGTTCTAGTTTGAGAAAGCCATTTTGAAAAATGTAGATATGATGACGTTTTTACATAGCAAATAGTTGGTCTATTTCAGATTCTCATGGAGCCCTTTAAGAAGTTTAAAAAAACGTTTACACCGAACCAGAAAACGATGCCCAGGCCCACCTCTACCCAACTGTCGGGTTTTCAATATCATCAGTGTGCGAGGACGGATTTAGTTATGGAAATAAATGGTAAAAGATGGTCATCAATTTTTATTTGAAAAAAAATTCTTTAACTTCTAAGAAAATTTTGTAAATATTGCCCAACTTAATTGTTAAAATGTTTTCAATAATTTTAGACTATTTAAGCAAACAATTGAGGTAAGATTAATTCTTGAAAATATGGTATCTTGCCTTAATCTTGTACGCATATTTCTTCCAAAAATATTGGGATTGAAACGTCATTTCAAGTTGATCTGAATTGATATAGTGACATGTTCGATTCATAAGGTACCTTTAAATGCTTTGCCTAGTCAAGACTAATGAATTACTGTCCATATATTTATTTTTAAAAACTGTTCATTTTCATTGATTCTTTCTCTGCAAAAGTAGCACGTGCATTTCTTATTTCACAAACCATGTATAAGCATTTTCATAATTCACTTTTCAAGCCAGAAAAAAACGTCGTTATCTTCCACCTTATACCAAGGGTACCATTGTGAGTTGCTTAAAGGAAGTGACCGGCAATATATGGTAGTTGAACTGAAAATGTAGTATTGTGGAGAAATTTTCTAGGATTCAATTGAGACATAATAAAACGTTTTAATAATGAATAATTACTGAGTTTGGGAGCAAAGTCGACGTTCAAAATCATACATTTGGGTGGATACGTTTTGAGAATCGATTTTTTAAAAATTATTAAAAAACGACGACGAAAAATGTATCAAATTTTACAGTAAACTTATTAGATGTAGAGGAACATATTTTTCAATAGAAATTTGTCAATAAATCAATGTTAGAATGAATTATTTTTATTTTTCATCATTGTATTGAATTTCTTATTCTGTACGAATTTGTTCGCAGATTTCTACAAATTCTTCAAATGTCGTCTTTTCAATAATATTCCAGAAAATCTGCAGAAAATATGTGTACAAAATGAGAGATTACTGAAACTAATAACTGAATAAGATTACTTATTTTCAATGATAAGAGTTAATTTTTATTATCTCAACCTGTTCCTAGACAACTAATAAGTTTATTGTAGAATTTTTGTTACAATTTTTTTGTCGTCGTTCTTTAAAATTTTTAAAAAATCGATGCTCAAAACGTTAACACCCAAATGAGTGACTTTGGACGTCGACTTTGCGCTCAACCTCAGTAATTATGCATCATTAAAACGTTTTATATGTCTCAAATGAATCCTTAAGAATTTCTCCACAAAACTACATTCTTAGTTCAACTACCATACATTGATGTCACTCCCTTTAAGATATCAGATCACTTAAAATTGCGACGTCAGTCCCTTTGGAGAACAATAGATTAAACTAACAATTTTAATTAATTTTAGTTAGTTTTTCTATTCCACTATATATTGGCGACTACTGTATTATAATGTAGTTAGTTGAATACTAGGTTAAATTTGCACCGGTGTTTAGACTAGTTCCTTAGTTGGTAACATTCAGATTAATTCTCTTTTCATGCAGTACATAATATATATTCGATTGGGATTGAAAGGAACTTAACTTTTTGTTATTAATATCTTGCTATGGAAAGGCAGATATTCAATTATTGAAGGGGAGAATGGGAAGCGAGTCTAAAGGGTGTTCGCACATACATCCCAGTTGTTAAATATCTAGAAAAGAGGGCTCGATGGGAAACTTTTAAATCTAGCTAGGGTTGATGACACATGTCCCAGTTGTTAAATAACAGGAGTAGAAGGAGTGGATGGGACACTTTTAAATCTCGCTAGGGGTGATAACACATGTCCCAGTTGTTAAACAACTGGAGTAGAAGGAGGGGATGGAGTTGAAGCAGGACTCTCTTTATGTTTGGTTAGACCTTCATCCTCATCCATTTTAACCTAAATTTAAAAATTTCATTAAGGTAATTAAACCTCAGTGTTCCTCTTTCAGCCCAGTGCAGTGTCCTTATCCTTTTTACATGTGTCCTTTTTGCTTGTAGATCTCATCCTAGTATATCTTGTTTACCATGTACATTCTTCATCTTTCTTCTCATCCTAGTATATCGTGTGTACCATGTACATTCTTCATCTCTCTTCTCATCCTAGTATATCTTGTGTACCATGTACATTCTTCATCTCTCTTCTCATCCTAGTATATCTTGTGTACGATGTACATTCTTCATCTCTCTTCTCATCCTAGTATATCTTGTGTACCATGCACATTCTTCATCTCTCTTTTATTCTAGATATGCCCTAGTATTAATCCATTCCTGTCTCTTTACCCATCCCTTTACAATACTAATGTTTCTGTTTCTCTATCTGCTTATGGGACAACTATTCCTTTTTCTGTTTCTGTTACGCTATCTGTTTCTGGTACAAATATTTCTTTTTCCTGTTTCTGTAACTTTATCTGTTTCTGGCACAAATATCCCTTTTTATTGTTTCTGTAACTCTAATCTGTTGTCTATTCATTAATTGTCCTACTCCTTCGGTATCTTTCACTTCTATGGTATCTTTCACTTCTTCGATATCGCGCGGTATCTTTCAATCAACGGTTTCTATAAATTATCTGTTTATGTAAAATATATGATTTCTATCAATGTCCGTGTCTGTCACTCTATCTGATTACAATAATAGATCTGTGTCTCTCACTATCTGTTTCTGTCTACCTATCTGTTTCTGTCACTCTATCTGTTGTTATCACTCTATCTGTGTCTGTTCCTCCATCTGTAGCTTTCACTTAATCTGTGTCTGTTACTCCATCTGTTTTTATCACTCTACCTGTGTCTGTCACTATCTATATCTGTCAGTCTATCTGTGTCTGTCACTATCTATGTCTGTCAGTCTATCTGTGTCTGTCACTTTTTGTTTCTGTCACTCCCTTTTGTTATCTCTATCTGTGGCTGTCCCTCTATCAGTGTCAGTCCCTATTTATGTGTCTGTCTCTTAATCTGTGTCTATCACTCTAGGCCCTCTATCTGTGTCTGTCCCTCTATCTGTGTCTGTCCCTCTATCTGTGTCTGTCCCTCTATCTGTGTCTGTCCCTCTATCTGTGTCTGTCCCTCTATGTCTGTCCCTCTATATGTGTCTGTCCCTCTATCTGTGTCTGTCCCTCTATCTGTGTCTATCCCACAATCTGTGTCTGTCCCTCTATCTGTGTCTGTCCCTCTATCTGTGTCTGTCCCTCTATCTGTGTATGTCCCATTATCTGTGTCTGTTCCACAATCTGTGTCTGTCCCACTATCTGTGTCTGTCCCTCTATCTGTGTCTGTCCCCTAACCTGTTTTGTTTTCCAAGATCTAGAGTAGAGAGGAGGGATGATTAATGCTACAGGGATAATTAACCCTAGCTGTAGAGGAGGAAGAATCATCTAGGTTTTAAACTTAATTATCAAAACTTTGGTCTCCATTTTTTTAAATAGAATATGTTATCACACGTTATATGATCAACTACAAAGTGAAATTAGAATACACTGCATCGCACAAATAGATATGTAAATCCAATTATAAACTTCATCAAATAAGAATTTAAAAGATAATTTTAATAAAAAAAAGTTCCTGTCCAATGTTGATACAGGGAAGGCTCTCCATATAACCCAGAAACCCCATATCTAAATAAGATAAAGCGGTTTGTGAAAACAAAAATTTTGCAGGACACAAAACAGTGAGAGAGAAAAATGTCATAATTTTTCCTTAAAAATGTTCTGAATTTAAAGATTTTTCGCCTGAATTTTTCTTTAACAATTAAATACTCTCAAAGACTGCAATTAACTATCAATTATCAATACTAATGATCCGAGGCCGAATTTAAAGAATTTGATCCGCATCCAGACACGGTTCTAACATGGTTGGTATTTTAATAAGTGTTCCGAGATTTAAGCCAGAGCTTAATCGGAATCGGTTATTGGCGGTTAAATTCGGCCTCCGTTGAATCAAATCACTTTTTTAAGAAAAAGTGCATCCACATCAATAACATTAGTAGAAAAAATGTATACGTTGAAAAACAGATTTTTGCACAACTTGTTCCTTTTAAAATTTTGGGTTAAAGGGACTGTTAAGGAAAAATGAAAGGAGATATAGGCTGATACCTAACAACTTCAGGAATTGATCGAGACCTATGAGAGTTCAATCTGATGCTCAAATGTCTCAAGAAATTAATAAAAAACTGTGTCAAAGTTATACCAAAACTTATATTTATACGACTGTCACGTAAGACAATTCTGATTGTGGAACTTGGTAGAACCACGGGAATGTTCTTAGCCCGATCTCAAAGTTTATTGAATTGACTTGCATAATAAAAACTGCAGGAAAAGCTTAATTCCCAAGCTAGTTCAATATAAAATTGTAGTTTTATTTCAACTAACAAATATCAGTGATGTCTACCTTTTAGTGCTCCAAAAATGCCGGTAGTAGTTTTCCCCATAATAAACATTATGAAGATCAGCATTCCTCGCAATCTAAACAAAACAATTAAACCTAAATTATTAAAAAATAATTGCCAAAAGCGTACATATCAAATCAAATCATATCAAATCAAATCATATCAAATCAAATCGAATCAAATCAAATCAAATTTTGCTCATAAATGAAGGTTTGAGTTTCAAGTCTTACCCACATCCGGGTTTTTCAATCCGATCTCTACCAATGTCATGATTGTATTACTTTTTCAATCATTTAACGAGTATTTTTTTGGGGGGAGGAAAAAAAACCGAGTGTATTTTCAGTAAAATATGTTTACTTCAGCTGGTAAAGATCACAGCACACGACCAAATTTGAGCCATACCAGGGAAATATTCAGCTAGAAAATACATCATTCTCTCTTAAATCATATCATCTTGAAGAGAAAAAAATCAATTGAGGAATGTTCCCTAAACAATATCAATCAATTAATCAATCAATCATAAATGTTCCCTAAACAATATAAACCAAACAATCAATCAAAAATGTTCCCTTAACAATATCAATCAATCAATCAATCAATCCATCAATCAATCAATCAATAAAACAACCAATCAATCAAACAACCGGGTTGACAGGGGTGTGAAATTCTTCTTACAACCCCCCCCCCCCCAAAAAAAAATATTACAGATTTAATCTATCCCTGGATTTAAGCATTTATTTTTTAAGAATCTGATGTAAAAGAGCTTTCTTCTTAATTTCAAGTGCCCTTCTGTTTAAAGTAGTTCATGTCAGATTGACAACGGTACCCTTTAGCCCTTTTATCAGATTCACAACTTTTCCCTTTAGCCCTTTTATCAGATTCACAACTGTACCCTTTAGTCCTTTTATCAGATTCACAACTGTACCCTTTAGCCCTTTTATCAGATTCACAAGGATTCCCTTTAGCCCTTTTATCAGATTCACAACGGTTCCCTTTAGCCCTTTTATCAGATTCACAACTGTTCCCTTAAGCCCTTTTATCAGATTCACAACGGTTCCCTTTAGCCCTTTTATCAGATTCACGGTTCCCTTTAGCCCTTTTATCAGATTCACAACTGTTCCCTTAAGCCCTTTTATCAGATTCACAACTGTTCCCTTTAGCCCTTTTATCAGATTCACAACGGTTCCCTTTAGCCCTTTTATCAGATTCACAACGGTACCCTTCAGCCCTTTTATCAGATTCACAACTGTTCCCTTTAGCCCTTTTATCAGATTCACAACTGTTCCCTTTAGCCCTTTTATCAGATTCGTCTACAGTCCATTTGCTAGTAAAGATCAATTCAAGAATTAATTTTGACATATCATAATCCATTTTCAAGATCTCTTAAATATTTTTAAATTTTAAATCGGTTACTTAGGATAGGTTCCCGGAAGGTTAGGTCCAGCAAGACTGATAAAAACCTATAAAAAAAATATTTTTTTTTAGAATTCCAAAACTATTTTTTACGCAGTACGCAAAATTCAATAAAATAACATGCTCAATGTGCATGCACCACTGTGCATCAGTACACAAGAAATAGAGAACTCACTTTGTCAATGCATGAAATCTGTTGCATTGTAAGTGTTTACGTTAACTTGTTGAGATAAAAGTTTTGTAAGTGTACACTGTTACTATACTGTACAGCGTGGATGTACATAATAAGCCTAATCTTGTTTTATGTAAGTGTACAAAATAAAGTTTAACTTGTAATACAAGTACACTGCAACTGTACATAATAACCTTTTTTGTGTAAAAAAAAACATTTAATTACCTTGTAAGTGTACATTGTGAAAATCTGGAACGGAATAAGAATAATCACAGGAACATTGGTTGGCTCTAGGAACACTAAAACAATTTTATATCAGCAGAGGCCGAATTTAAAGAATTTGAGCCGCGTCTCTTAAGAGTTATTTTTTAAAACATATAAAGATTTCACTCTTACGTACAATTTACTTTAGTTTGACGTAATGTATTAAATGTAAATATATGTAAATATATTTAAATAAAAAATAACCTTTTGGTTGTGGGATGTTGTTGTAGGCAAACGCAGAACTTATCATTATATTCAGAATGTTCAACGAAACTAAAAACATAAAATTTATTCTAATTTTTTCTTAAACAATTTATAGGCTTCAAAAACATTATTTGTTTGTATATAAGAGAGTTAAGAAATAATGCATGAACAATTTTCCGATAAATAAGTAAATAAGTTAAAATTGTGCTGGGGGGGGGGGTCAATTTGACCCCCCCCCTGTAGATTTTTTTACATAACTCAAAAAGTATTGGTCTGAGGCTGTTGAAATTTTCTGACTTTTCTTACATACCCAAAGCCCTCCATATAGGCCTAAAACAGGGCTTTAATACTAACTGCCTGAGTCCTCAGGCACACTGCCTGAATGACTGCTTTTTCCTGTATCAAACTAAATCTTTGTTTTGACCCACTTTCACTTGTCAGATTTTGATAAAATTTAGCTTTTTGGAAAGCCTTTGACAAAAGGAAACAAATTGCACAAGTTTTGCGAAAAAAAAATTGCAAATTTTTTGCAAACAACCTGTCAAAGGAAATTTGCACATTTTTAGTTTTTCTTGATTAAAAATCATGTTATTTAAAATTTTGCAAAAATTTTTGCATATTTGAAATGGCATGGTCAAGGGCTTTTCAAAAATGTATAATTTTTCATTTTTTTGACAAATTTTTTTTTGCACACATTTTTACTTTATAACTGGATTTTGCGATAAAAAATTCAATTTTTGCAAATTTGCAAATTTTTTTGCAGATTTTAAAAGTAGAGCACAAGAGCTTTCTAATGATGTATCATTTTTCATATTTGGACATCAAACATGGGATTTAGAGGGGGGGGGTCAAATTGACCCCCCCCCCCCAGCGTATCCTGGTTTTCAAGTACCCCAGCAGAGATAGGGTTAAAAACGTGACAGAAAATATCTATATCTTTTAGGATTTTATAAGAAATAACATCTGTCGATTACGTGACGACAAAAATATTTATTACAAAAAGTGGCAGTAAGATTTAGAATAAATTAAGCATGACGTCATTGGTGTCAAATGTGACACAGTTTAAACCCGTATTTTAGGGTTGAGTAAAGTATATTTTAAAAAATTGAAAAAAAATTTTATTCCCATAATCGAATTTTTAGTCAAACACTGAAAATTGAAATGTCATTACAGCTTTACTAAATATGATTTGTATACAATATATGTATATTTACATATGCTCCATTGCCACCTATTGTACTTTTAGATGGGCGGGTTTTTTTTTCATTTCGTTAGTTCATCGTTCGTGAACGACCCGTTTCGTTCGGTTTTTTGAATCGTTCAAAAAAAATGATTTTGTTCGTTCTCAAAATTATCGTTCATTTCCCATCCATTTCGTTCGTTTTCTCAGTGAACGACCATTCAGTAAAATCGTTCGTTCTTCCTCAAAAATTGCTAACATATTTGACGTAAATCAAGCTATTTTCAGCTGAAGGGACTAAAGTTAATTAATGACTTAGGGGTTCAGTCCTGAAACTAATGGTTTAAATTGTGGCCTCATGTCCATATTTTCCCACTACTAACCTAGCATCGGTAAAGGTAGGAATATGAATTTGACAAGACACGGTGTCATCACTGGTCTGAAAAAAAGGTTTTAATAGTACAATAAATCAATCAATCTTATCCGATTATTAACTCGATCCGTAAATCAAGCAATCAATCCACCCTATCATCACTTACACGATTATCAACTCCATCAATCACGCAATAAATTAAATAATCCATAAAATCAATAACTTAATCAGTCAATCAATTAATCGATCAATCACTCAAAAAATCAATTAGCCAAGTATTATTTATCAAATTTTGCTCAATATCATTAATGCGATGGAAAATTCTTTGACCACTCTGTTAATTTCAGGGGTTATAAATTTCAATAATTCAGGGGAAAGCGATTTTACATGATTTGGGGGAAAAATGAAAGACTGGACGAATTCAGGGGGAAACGATTTTAGATGATTTGGGGGAAAAATTAAATACTGGACGAATTCAGAGGAAAGCGATTTTAGATGATTTGGGGGAAAAATGAAAGACTGGACGAATTCAGGGGGAAAAGATTTTAGATGATTTGGGGGAAAAAATTAAAGACTGGACAAATTCAGGGGGAAAAGATTTTAGATGATTTGGGGGAAAAATGGAAGACTGGACGAATTCAGGGGGAAACAATTTTAAATGATTTGGGGGAAAATTGAAAAATTGGAAATCAAAAGGCAACTTTTTTCTTTCTTTTTCATTCTTTTAAATACTTCCCAATTATTCAGTAACTAAACCTTAAAACTGGTATTTATATGCTCTGGAGAAAAATTATTTTCAAAGGGGGGGGGGTCGAGAAAATATACACCCCTGGCTGATTTAATTAATAATTTACTTAGGGCAAGGGATGAGGCAGCAGAGAGGAGGAGTACCAATAGGACAGCTCACGGTTTTGCTACTTTAATTACAATAAATATTTTCAAACTTCAAATTTATTTCAATGAAGGTTTAAAATGTTGTGCTATGTGTTATACACTTTTAGAAATCTTAAATGAAAATTATAAATGAATTAAATAATAATTATTGAGTATTAATAAATCAAGTATGAATTAGATATCCATGTTTTTGTTTCATAGAACGGTTTTTTTTATTTGCGATTTTTCTGCAAAGTGTATTGCGCATTTCATGTTTATAAAAAGCAATGGAGAAACTCGCAGAAATAAAAACTTATCAAGTTTGAAATCGACAATATCTTACACATTTTTGAACAATTGTACCGTGTTAATCGGGCATTGTCATCCTTGCAAGAAGGGTCATTTGAAATTGTGCTTCCAGTCCATTTCAGCCAGAGGTATGATTTGATAAATCGCGACCGTTAAAAAACTAAATATGGCTCATTGGGCATTCATTTTCTAGTTCAGTAATTCAAATGTTTCACATAGGTTCTGAACTCCTGACCTCTTAAAATATTTATTAATTTTTATAAATTTTAAAATTTAGTTTATCAATGGGGTTGTTTGTGTCCAGAACACGTCAAAACAACTGAACAGATCAGGCCCAATTTGTTTATGGTAATTTGGATAATCCCTAAAAAAGGTTTATAACCGGGCAAAAATATATAACTTATAATTTGTAAATTAAATTTGTAAATCTATCATAACAAAAATCCACAAAATTTACATTCAGTGCAGTAAATATATTTGAGCTGAAAGTGCAGTATATTACAGAAAAACCTTACGATTTTTTTAATACGAGACATTTTTACAGTGTACAATTTTTAAATAATTGAGTGTAAAGTCGTTTGTAATATTTCACCAGTCTAATTTAAAAATTGTACACAGTAAAAATGTCTCATTGGTATCAAATGAATCCTTAAGTTTTTCTCTACAATACTGCATTCTCAGTTCAAATATGTTACATAGCCGGTCTCTCCTTTTAAAGAAACATTTTATATCTATATTCTTTGCGCTTTGGGAGAAAGAACGAAGCACAATATCTTGATATACCAGGGAAGAGAAAGGGAAGAAGAAGGGTCCTTGATTACCTGGTTGAAGGATATAAGCCTAGATATACCAGGGAAGAAGAAGGGAAGAAGGGTCCCTGGTTACCTGGGTGAAGGATATAAGCCTGGATATACCAGGGAGGAAGAAAGAAGGGAACAAAAAGGGTTCCTGGTTACCTGGTTGAAGGATATAAGCCTGGATATACCAGGGAAGAAGAAGGGAAGAAGAGTCCCTGGTTACCTGGGTAAAGGATATAAGCCTGGATATACCAGGGAAGAAGAAGGGAAGAAGGGTCCCTGGTTACCTGGGTGAAGGATATAAGCCTGGATGTACCAGGGAAGAAGAAGGGTTCCTGGTTACCTGGGTGAAGGATATATATCTGGATATACCAGGGAAGAAGAAGGGAAGAAGAGTCCCTGGTTACCTGGGTAAAGGATATAAGCCTGGATATACCAGGGAAGAATAAGGGAAGAAGAAGGGTCCCTGGTTACCTGGTTGAAGGATATATATCTGGATATACCAGGGAAGAAGAAGGGAAGAAGAGTCCCTGGTTACCTGGGTAAAGAATATAAGCCTGGATATACCAGGGAAGAAGAAGGGAAAAAGAATGGTCCCTGGTTACCTGGGTGAAGGATATAAGCCTGGATATACCAGGGAAGAAGAAGGGTCCCTGGTTAACTGGGTGAAGGATATAAGCCTGGATATACCAGGGAAGAAGAAGGGTCCCTGGTTACCTGGGTGAAGGATATAAGCCTGGATATACCAGGGAAGAAGAAGGGTCCATGGTTACCTGGGTGAAGGATATAAGCCTGGAAATACCAGGGAAGAAGAAGGGATTCACCGACAAAGGGTCAAACGACCCAGGGTCAAACGACACAGGGTCAAACGACACAGGGTCAAATGACAAAGGGTCAAACGACAAAGGGTCAAACGACAAAGGGTCAAACGACAAAGGGTCAAAAGTGCGACAAAGGGTCAAACGACAAAAGGTCAAAATGATAAAAATATTTTTTGATTTGAATCATAGGAAACTCGCAATTTTAATCACAAAACACCGCCAAACTTTTTTGAAGATTTAAAACTTTAGTCTGATTCTGGCTTCCATAATGGTCGGGTTGGCAATATATTTGACCATGTTGCCGCAGCGCTCGGCCCCCTAGCTTGTCCTAGCCGCAGCGCTCGGCCCAGAAATTGTCTTAACTAACCTAACCCGTGGCCGCAGCGCTCGGCCCCCTAGCCCGTCCTAGCCGCAGCGCTCGGCCCAGAAATTGTCTTAACTAACCTAACCCGTGGCCGCAGCGCTCGGCCCCCTAGCCTGTCCTAGCCGCAGCGCTCGGCCCAGAAAGTGTCTTAACCTAACCTAACCCTAAATAATAATAAATAAATGGATATAATTGACCATGTGGCCACAGTGCTCGGCCCCCTAGCCTGTCCTAGCCGCAGCGCTCGGCCCAGAATGTACCTAACCAAAGCATAAATAATAATAAAAAAAATACTAACTGACAGAATTAAAAAAAATTTGCCCCTTTGTCGCATTTTTTGACCGTTTGTCGTTTGACCCTGTGTCGTTTGACCCTTTGTCGCGTTTTTGACCCTGTGTCGTTTGACCCTGTGTCGTTTGACCCTATGTCGTTTGACCCTGTGTCGTTTGACCCTGGGTCGTTTGACCCTTTGTCGGTGAATCGAAGAAGGGAAGATGAAGGGAAGAAGAAGGGTCCCTGGTTACCTGGGTGAAGGATATAAGCCTGGATATACCAGGGAAGAAGAAGGGAAGAAGGGTCGGGATTAGAAGAAGGGAAGGGAAGAATTGAAGATATGTCAGAGAAAGATTTAACTCTTTTGATCGAACTCTGGAAATAACAAAAAAAAATCATAAAATAATCGATTAATTCATAATGATATAACTAATAAATATTGTAATAATTAATAATAAAATTGTTTTAATAATCTATAATTTTTAAAATATTTTTTTTTTCTTTACCTGTGATAAAATGCGTAAGAGAACATTAAAAGAGTAAGAAAAAGACTAACACAGTAAACTGATGCCATCAACTCATATCCTTGACATTAAAATATGATGAAAAAATGAAAAATAAACCATGCAATATCTATAAAAATATAAATTGGGATTATTATAAGTAATTTTTTAGAGAAAAACAAAGTATTTTGTATCCTATATAAATTAAACTTAGGATAACATATGGTGTGAAATTACAAAAATTATCTCGTAACACAGCAAACTACAGGGACATCCAACAAAATTCTTTTTATTTTCAAAATTTGCCGAAGTATGACTGAAGGATTGACCAACAAGAAAAAAATGAAGAACAAGAAATATAGAAATCTTAAAATATTTCCATCTGATATCATATAAAAATTTTAAAAAAATTATTAAAGTTAAAAACAAAAATTATCTATATTTATGGAAAATTGTAAATCTTGTAAATCATCCCGGAAAAAAGGAACACTAGCAGGGGATTTGGCCAGGGGATGAGGGGGGGGGGGGGTGCACAACTTTCTAGGAAAGGGGCTCCACCATCATTTCCCCGGAAACCATAATATCTTTACTTACCCAGTGCGTCTAAAATTTCCTGAGGGCCAACTGTACTGTTACAGGCTCCCTCCACCACTTCACTGTAAATAAATAAGTTTAAATTTAAGGCCAAAATATAAATTCTATACATTTTGACTTATATTATATATTGAAGGAGCTATGTTAATTACCTTCCTGTTAATTAAAACATGCAATTGCAACTCTGTATAGTTTCACAAAATATGGGAGCTATGTCAATTGGCCTACAATCATGTGTCCTACAACCATTTGTCCTACACATCATTTGTACTACAGATCATTTCTCTTACAAGTGGAGGAAACATCATTTGTCCTATACATTATTTGTCCAGCACATCATTTGTCCTATACATTATTTGTCCAGCACATCATTTGTCCTAAAAAATCATTTGTTTATACGTCATTTGTCCTACAGAGCGGAAAAATAATCATTTTTCTTACACATCATAAAATATATACATATATATTATATGTTACGTTCTATTTATATTGAACAGGTGAATATATTTACTAAGGGTAAAACGAAATAGGATCAAAAAGTGTGACAAAAGGGCAAATTTTCTTTGGGGGCGGAGGGGAGACAGCTCATTATTTAACATTTAAAAAGAGCCCCCTAGCCCATCCTAGCCGCAGCTCTCGGCCCAGATATTGTCTTAACCTAACTTAACCCTAAATAAGGTGAGAGAGAGTAAAAGAAAATTATTTAACATTTAAGTGGCCGTATCGCTCGGCCAATTAACCCAGAATTAGGTGAGGGAAAACATATTATTTAACATTAAAAATGCCACAGCGCTCGGGCCCTACCCCATCCTAGCCGCAGCGCTGGGTCCAGAAATTGTATTAACCTAACCTACCTTACCCAAAATGAGGTGATATGACAGCATTATTATTTAACATATTAAAAGAAATTAAATAAAACTTTTTAAACATTACTATAAAACAAATATTGTTATCCATTGTAGAAAAAAAATTGTATTCCCTCTCTGTTGGACAAATAATGAATAATGAATAGTGCAATTAAATTGTAGGACAAATGATATTTATCTCTCTCTGTAGGTCAACTGATGTGAAGACTATAATCGAAGTGTAGGTTAGGTTAAGACACTTTCTGGGCTGAGCGCTGCGGCTAGGACAGGCTAGGGGGCCGAGTGCCGCGGCCACAGGGTCAATATAATCCGTGTCAGATCCATGTACAAAATTGATAGGGAGGGGGTGGGTCCAAAAATCGTTCTCTAGGAATATACCGCGTATAGAAATAAACGTTTATCTATCAACTTCGAAAGAAAAACAAAGCCTAGTGATAGAATTGTTTTGGGGAAATCTTCCATTGTAAAATAAGACATCCGTACATATGTATCCTACAGCCGGCCAAATGGATTGAGATTTTGTTGTAGACACTCATGTATAGCCTGGGGGTGAGCAAAAACTGTTTTCCTAGTATACGATTTTTGAACACCCCCCTAACCCTCCTATTATTTTTGTACCTTTTTGATATCTTGATATCCTGTTCTTCAAACAGTTAATTATGGCTAGAAAATATTTTATATAGGCTTGAGTACAATTACTTTTCTACAAATTTTTCTTGCTCTCATAATGGAATTCTTTCGGATTCTTGGACGAAAAGTATCTCTTTTGGTTATTTTTGAGTTTATCTGGGGGATTTATTACTTCGGATTAAAAGTCTTTTTTCCGGTTTTATTTTTTATTTTTATTTGCTTTTACTGTTCTTATATTCTTAAAGATGAAAAGTCATTCCATTGCCACTACGTTTGCAAATAAACTATTATTTACCTATTGCAGTTTTGTTCAAGTTTGTAATTTTATTTTAAAGATGAAAAGTCTGCAACTACACTTGCAAAAGTAAATCGATCTTGTTTTTGATTAAACCATTATCATTGAAGAGGTCTGCTAAAAGCAGCTCATTACAGCAATAGATGCGAAGGATTTATAATGAGAGAATTTTTCTCTCCACTTTTTGCATGTGATGTATACTATGGTTGATGTGTTTTTTAGTATTGAATAAAGTTTTTAAGAAGAAGAATTTTGTACATGGATCTCATATGTAACACATGGATATAATTGGTCATGTGGCCGCAGCGCCCGGTCCCCTAGCCTGTCCTACTCGCGGTGCTCGGCTCCCTCTAGCCTGTCCTGACCGCAGCGACCGGCCCAGAAATTGTCTTAACCTAACCTAACCCTAAAATTATTAAAAATAAATAAGAATAATTTTGCAGTTTTTTTTTTCAACGCCGGGCCCTTCAGCTAGTATTAAACACAAATGACCTATAGGTCAGGGTCAATTTGGACAATTGGACTCCGATTCATTGGTCAATTTAATTCATAATTCTATTTAGGTTCTAGGTTCTAAACCTATACAGAGTTCAGGACAAGAGAGGCACAGACTTCTGATATCTGATGGTAAGCTCGGTTTATCTGTAAAATGTAGAAAGATTAACAATATATACAAAAAAAGGTCATTGAACGATAATATTCGAAATATTATAGTATTGAGCTACATTTCGCAGCACTTCCCAAAAATATGGGCATAATAAGTTTTTATATATATTAGTACGTTAGATCGTAAATATTCAAAACCTGGAATTTTGTTGAGATTCCATTTCTAGATCCTCCATTTCAACCTTGTCATTACACCTGAAAGGAGTATTTAATTTCATTTCAAATCTAAGAAATTGTTTTTCCGAGCTTTTAACGATTATTTGGCGCTCCAATTTACATCCATCATGTGTTCACTACAAAATAAAATCCTTATAACAACATTTACATTTCTTAAATTATCAAAAAACAATGAGAAAAGTGCAATTTTCATTTATTATGACTTTTCTAACTTCAGATGTCCATGTTCTTTGAAAGAAACAGTTACATTCCTTGAAGCAATATTTACAGTATTTCCTGAGTACACAATTCGTACACAAACAACCTTAAATTCTGGATTCCTATTGGAAAGAATATTTGTTAAGCAACAATCCCAGTGATCCTATTGGTCAAAACACTTTTACTTATTCCCTGGAAAACTACAGAGCGTCCCATATCATATTAGACTTTCTCCAATCTTTAACGCCAAAATACACATATAATACTCGAAAAATCTAGCATTTTCTGCAAGAAAAAAATTCTATTAGCCTTATTAAATTTTTCAAAATGATTCATTCTTCTGAAATTTTCTGATTTGTCCCCTAAATCGTAATTTAGACCCATTGACGCGGTCTAAATTGATGTGGGACACCCTGTATGAATAATACAGGGAATACAGGGTGTCCCACGAAACATAACAGTATTAAGATGACTTAAAAGTCATCTTTAATCTTGGAATTTATTTAAAGGAAAATCCCCTCTGTTAAAAGAGAGTCCTGCAGACTTTACGGCAGTTTCAATCAGGTTCGTACCCAGGGACCGAGGGGGGGGGTGCAGGGGGACTGCACCCCCCTTTCTTCTGAAAGGGGGTGCAATGACGAATTAGCACCCCCCCCCTAGTCCCATTATGAAAGAAACTGTTTTTCATAATTTTCTAAAATTTAGTTATCAATTATATAGCCCGAGTAAGAATTAATACCCTTCCCAAACCAAATTGTAATCTATTTGTGTGTTACTCATTAAAAGTGTGTGTGTGTGTGTCTTAATTTACTCATAGTCACTCATTCAATAGCTGTTTAAGCCTAATTAAAACACTATGTTTTATTAAATATATGCTATAAAGTCTCATGGAAATGAAATGATAATCTCCTGTATGCTTTCAGACTTTCTGCCACCCCCCAATTGACCCTTGAAAAGGTTTTTTTAAATGAATAAGAAATGTGAATGTATAATTATCAATTATCATAATGCAAAGTCAAAGTAACATAACAATTGATTCTGTTGGTTTAGCTGCAGTACTATACTATATCATGTAGATAAATTTATAGTATATTGTATAATGTATATGTAAACTGAAAAGTTTCTGACATTAAAATGTAACCCTTAAAAGCTCAAATACACTTGTTAAAAGGTTAGTCTTTATAGTGTGCATTGACAATGTAATAAAAACAACCATATACCACTGTAAAAACAAACCAAGCATTGCAATGCTTGGTTTGTTTTTGCTTGGTTAAAAAAAGGTTTGGCCTGCGCGGCACGCCTTTTTNTCCTGGCTACGGGCCTGGTTTCAATCTAAATTCTTTAGGTTTAAAACAAATTTTTGACGTTGCTTTAATTTAAAAAATTTTAATTATTGTTTTAACCATTAATTTTAAATTTTATTATTATTCAAATCTATTTATTATTCAAATGCACAATGGACAGAGAAAGTAATAAAATAATATTTAAAATAGCCATGGCACTTATTTGAGGGCGCAAAAGGACAGAAAAATAATGAATTTTTGACACACAAAAAAAAAGATACGGAGAGACAGGCAGAATATATGTTCAACTAAAGTTGAAAGAAATGGTCTCGTAATATTCAAGAACCGAAGTTAAATTGAAAAAAAATGTTACATTGGCTTTGCACCGTCGGTTTGCAACATTGTTTGAGAAGATAGGCTTAAATTTTTTTTCAAATCATGCCTGCACTTATACGAAACTGGATCATAGAACATGGTTAGGATGCGGGAAAAGAGGATCTGTAATTGATACATATATCTTTACACCAATGTTTCTTTAATTTTAGATGTGGTTGGATACAATAACGTTGAGTATCAAGAACGGCGTACAAGATGAGGGTGGTATGGGAAGCCCGCCCCACCCCCACTCCTTAGAAATTAATTTTTCATTGCAAAGCACACGCAGATTTCACTGATCCAGGGGAGGGTCTGGGCTAAGCCCCCTTGTCCACCCCACACTACGCTTCTGGCGCGCCCACTAGCAAGTTTGGTGCACTGCCTCCTCCCAATTATACCTGAAAGGACGTCTATTACGCCCCCCTTAAGGTTATAATGCAAGGAAAGTTATTTCTGAGGTGTACGCGTCTTTTGTACTGTAATGTACTGTCTCATGGGCGGTAATGTAAACACAAGAGGGATGTCGAAGCCTGACATGGGATCCATCTTTCACATAAAAATCAATGAATTTTTCTGGTCATAGGAAACTATTATGTGAATTATCAAAATTATCAAAATTTAATGCTGTTAACCTCCTCGGATATTAAACGAACACTGATACATCTATTCTTGTTTACAAATTCCGCCCAGAGAGAACTTGTTTCAATATGAACGCAGAGAATATACGCATGGTTGCAATTAACTTTCCTTGCATTATAACCTTGGGGACAATAAAGTTTATTTCATTGCGTATTTGCTGCGGTCATCTCTATCTACGCATTACAAATATGTTTTCATGAATATGTGTCTTTTCAGTACCAGTTTAACACTAGGGTTGCAAAGCATTTCAAAAATGTATCGACAGCGTTTAGGATTTTTGCGTATAATAACAGTGTCCGGAAAATCAGAAAATGTTCGAAATTTGAAAATAAAAAAGTTGGAAAAGGAACATCCCAACAAAATGGCGGATATTAAACGGAAACATGGCGGAAAGCTTAAACATCTGATTGAAGAAGTTCTTGAGGAGCCTCTCGTCGAGTTTGGAGCTCTCCCCCTGGAGTCTGAGTGGTTGGTTACAGAGAGGAGCGGAGGGAGCCATCATTATGATGAGTTCATGAAGCATATTATTGAGGAGCCTTATACAGAGTTTGGAGCTACTGGAGCACCAAGTCCAGGGAGCCATACCCTAACTGAGATACATCGTAAACATCATGAAGCAGAGCACATGTTAGAAGAGATCATTCAGGAGCCTTTTATTGAGTTTGGAGCTCCTCCACAGGCCTACGGAGGTCGGGGTGTTCTGGAGGAGGACTATCCAGGTATTTTTTTTGGCAAAAAAATCAAGTTTTTTACCATTTTCCACATGGTTTTCCACAAAAGATGAGACTATAAAGACGACCCGAAACTCTTCAAACGTTTCCAAGGTTAAATAAGGTCTTCATGCCATGATTATATCTTATTATAACCTTTTTTAAGATTAGGAAAAGAAAAAACAGTTTACAGTTGCAGGAAGTACTAAATTTAAAGCAACAGACAGTATTATTCTGTTCAGTCATCTCTGAAGTCTCATTCTTTGTGGAAAACCCTGTACTTGCAGTAAATCTAATTTAAACAATTAAAAAGACTATTTTTGAATTATCCAGTTTGCTGCGATTCTCTTTTAATTGATTTTTTTTTAATTTTTGTGTTTTAAAATTAGCCTTGGCCTTGAAAATTGTGCCTTTAATTTTAAATAAATGGAATACTCGTATTTGGGAGGAATCTAAAGATAAAGTCAAGGAGATATATTCTGTACACCTTGGATATAGTATTGGATTCAATGCTTTTAATTACAACTAGCTGAAGAACCGTGGAAATTTTTTTTTAGCCTATAACACACACCCCTGATCACCCATGAGTGTCCACAAAAAAAAAATCAGCCCATTTTGGCCGGCTATTTACATTTTAAACATTATTTTTAAATATTTTTTGTAGTGTTTCACTATTAAATATTTAATATAGAATTCATGTTACAACAATACCATTTCTAGTTTTCATGATGTATACTGCGCATTAACGTACATACATTTTACATTCAGACCTTATTCTAAGCATCTTTCTTTTTTTTTCTTCTTTTTTTTGGGGGGGGGGGGGGTGGTGCCTTGATTAATAGTTACTATCCTCTACCCCTCGTCAACACAGCGGCACTTTAAGATTATAAAAATTACTTTTAATTTTTGTCTTTTCTTCGAAATACCGCGATTTACTTTTTTAAAAGAAACTACTATTTAAAATAATCATTTTTTAAATAGAAGAAAGACAAGAATTCATATTTGTTCGGACAATAGTTTGCTCCTTATGAACCCCCCCCCCCCCCTGTAAACCGTATATTTTACTAATCCGGGACTAAGCCCCCATAACCCCCCCCCCTGTGTAGGCCTCTGCTAGAAATAGGAGACAAGATTTTATTCATATTAGCTGGCCGTTGCCAAAAGAACCCTCTAAGTTAGTTTAAATGAATAGATCAGCAGATTTGTGAGAATGAAAAAACATTTTTCAGGAAGTTGGGATCTGCTAAATCCTCCAAAAGTTGACGAACCGGAAGTATTTACAAAACAGCCGATTGATGACGTCATCCATACACCGGTTGTAGAAGAAAAGATCCCTGAATTTCTACCACCATGGTTGGAGAAAAAGTAGGAATTTTGAAGTAACATATATATTTGAATTTGAATTCAGTGGTAAACATTAATCAATACAATGTAAACATTAAAAGAAACTGTTCATTGACAGCTTCTCTTTGTTTCCATTATATGTGCATCTATGCTGTTTGATTGAAAGAATCATAATTGAAATTGAAAGTCGTCTTTATTGTATTAATATTTACGGCAAGGACTGTATTTTATTCTATTTCTAAATAATATTATGCAAATGATGCAACTGACATAGAAATTGATTTTTTTTCAACAAACACGAGGTGGTTTTCTAATCCATTTATCTTTGCAAACAATTGCCTTAGATATTTCAAATTATGAATTCTGGTAGCTCAAAATATCTAAGTTTAAATAATAATGTCTACGACATCGAGTTAAAAAAAATATAGTAATCGCAATATTAGAGTTTGTGGGAAAAAAACTGATTTCATTTTACTAACTTACTATGCTTAAAGTCAAAATGGATTGCTATGATACAGTTAAACCCTAAAAAAGCAGTACGTCGAAAGAATTCATCAAATGTTGTATTCTTCACTTTCTGATAATGGAATGTTGCATATATTTAGTTTTTAAATTAAATGATTATGTGGAGCTCTTTAAAACTGTTCCGCATATTCATGGCTATTTACTTATTTTCGCAAATACTGAGATTTGCGTAAAAAAGTATAATACCCATTGAAAAATTGTTAAGACGACATTTTATAATTTTTTTCGATGTATGGCTCATTTAGGAATTAACTGTAAAATACCAGAGCAAATATTTCTTTTCTTTTCTTTACACTTTTTGGAAGCTTTTCTTTTTTCCTTTTCTGAACAATCTGATTTGAGATTAAGCATTAATTTTGATTTCCTTTCTTGATTTCAACTCTTCTATTTTTATATAGACAGGCAACATTAAAGAAATTGATTTTAAGCATTTATTGTAAGCTCTAATAAAGGTTCTATGCAATGAATTCAAATGCTATGGGAAATAAAATTGTTCTTAAAACTCTCTAAACTTGTTTAAACTATGATATTGTGAATTGCTATACATAATCATAAAATTTTAATGTTTACAACGGTGGTTTACGAAACGTACTTCTCAGCTTAGAAGCTTGAAAAATTCCAGTGGTAATTGTGTGTACTCCGGAGGCTAATATATGAATATTTAGTCCCTCCGATCCAGTGGAGGGATTCCTGAAGGAGGAGGAGAGGATGATGAAGGGAGGAATGATGGTGGAGGAGGACGTAAACTCAATCACATACTTCATCAACATCAACCAGTTCAACACTAAGGACATCTTGGTAACCAATCTTAAGAAGGGGGGGGGGGGATTTATCATATTGTAATTTCTTAATCCTTTTACCTTTACAAGTCACGTAAAACTAACTGCAAGCAAGTGTATCTGTATCAGAATATTTTCTGTTTTATTTTCATCTCTAATTTAAAATCCTTCCAAAATATATGCTTAATAAGTCTCTTATTTACTTAAAATATTTGAATTCATAGCCCCACAAAAAGAGTAAAAAAATAAATGTTAAAAATTCTTACTTAAGCGATGAAAACTCGCTGGATTTTTGTATCACGACCTCGCAAACTATTGATGTTTTAAACTGTATAAATTCTGATAGATATAAGTAACCACATAGTTTTTTTTGTTAGTGGATAAATTGAGTTCTTTATAGACCCTTACACTGATAACCAGAAATAGAAAGACGGCTTGTAGACTCAAATTCTGACTGTAAATAGTTCAATGAACATTAGACACTACCATTGAGCAGTATAAATAAACCCAATTCACTTTATTAATGATTTGATAAGTATCTAGTTAAACTATTTGATTTGTAACAAAACTAAATACACTTAAGTATTGCTATAAAGTCGTCTTCCTATTCCATTGTTTTCTGGTTATCACCGCAGCCTCCTTTATGGGGGAAGGGTGTTTCTTCCAATTCAACCATGTTACTTTCTTTAATTTAAAAAATAGAAAATAGAAGAAAAAACTTCTTTAATTAATGCGANTTCCACCGTGTATTGTTTACTATTCTGCATAAAATTACAGCAATACTCACAAAGAATGAGATTTTAATGGCGGTACCTGAGAGTACTATTCAGGTTAAATTCAGTCTTAAAGGAACATTGAATGAATAAGCTTCAACGACTAAAAACAAAACACAATTGAAAGAAAAAATTGCGTTGAGTTTCATGCTAATGTAATTTTTAAGGTTTTCCGCGTTGGCGACGAGGTTTGGATCGAAAGAAACAAAGACGACCCCTACACGACCCCCACGGACCTCCACGCCTGTAAAGAAGAGGTGAGGCCGGAGAATCTGAGGAAGGAGGTTTCTGAGAGGGTAGAGGACGGGATGAGTAAAGAGTTGCTTGAAAGGTTTATATTCCCTGTTATTCCGGATGAGGATAGATGGGATGAGGGGATCTGGAAGAATGAGGATGATGTTCATCACAATGAGGTTTGGGAGGATACCCTGAGGTTCCATCTACCCCCTGGAGCTGTGGTTAGTAGTCTAGAGACTAGAGTACAAGATAATATGCTTAGGATTAAGCTACAGAAAACTAGACCTGGAGAACCAACTAATAGTAAATCTGTAATTCCAAAGAGGTTTTTAATGTAAATTGTAATTTAAATTTTAAATTAATTTTTATTGCGTTTGGAAAAATCTGCTGGGTAAAATAAAGAAATGTTTTTAAAGATATGATTTATGTCGATTTTCTAAATTGAAAGGTAGTTTCGTGCTTAAATGTAAATATAACTTTTGTTTATTATCAATTTAAAAAAAAAATTTTGTTACCATTATTTTTGAATTGAGAATGTATGGTGTTGTAAATAGTAAATATTTTTTTACTATAGAGAAGAAGTATTTTATTTGAATACACAAAACACATTACGCAATACACATGGTGATGTATGTGTGTGGTAAGTTGCAAGTGTACACATATAGTAAACAGATATATTTTTCTTAGAAAATAATTCTCTAATTTTCACGTAGCGATAGCCTATAGTAAATTAAATATTTGGAGATAACAAGCTGTTTATTTAACTAGAATTTGTACTTAATATAAGAACTTAGTTCAGTATATCATTCTAACAAATAGGGCTTATAGATAAATAGTTACAGTTAAAACATGTTTTTTTTATTGTTAAAAATCATTATAATTTTCAAAAGTAGGCTTTTAGAGCGCTAAGCGGCCCGTTTCTAATATCATTTTTAGCTTTAAACTTTTGCTTTTTAAGTCGCCTTTTTTCATCGTACTCTAACTGCAATAAACAAATATGTTTTCGGATTTTTCTGTTTATTCCGAGCAGTTCAACCTTTTTTTTTACAAGTTTGTCTTAGATAACTGCTGTGGTGGTAAATGCAACATATTAAATCTTAATTTTAGTTAAATATTTTTATGGTTTATCTGTTTGGTCGGCGAAACAGACCTCACTGATTGGTCCATGAAACATTGTGATATGAGGATGTTTATCTGTTTTTATTGAATAATAAATTGCTTACAATATGCATATATACATATATACATATATAAATACATAAATAAACACATATATGTATCTAACTAGCTTTATAACTTTATACCTGTTATCTTTACAACATTATAATAACTTCTAGATAAGTTCTCAAATTCTATATTTTTAGTTCTTAACATTCTTAAACAAGAACACACACAATCTTAAATGGAAACTGTAATTTTTTAGGGTTGTTATTGTATTAAAAGACAAAAAACATTGACTCGTTTGTAAAAACGTGAGACATCGAAAAATACCATGACAATCTTTTTTAGAAACGATCGTTTATAAAAACGTCAATTTTTAACGATGGTTAACGACCTTTTGAAGAGAAAACATTCAGGTTATTTGTTTCTATAAAGACAATACTTATAACCTTATCTTTCTGAAAAAAATTGAAATTAGTTGTCATAAAACTTAGATTCATTGGCAAAATTTTTTTAGCGATGCTTAAAAAACATAGTTTTAAAAAATGATTGATTTCAAAAACGAAAGTTTTTCGTTGAAAAAAAACAATCGTTTAAAAAAATCGTTTTCAAACACGATAGTTTTTCGTTATTTGCAAGTTCAAAACTAGTGGTTCCTTTCAAAAACAATCTTTTAATTCCAAAAACGAAACGATCGTTTTTAGAAATAATAAAAACGGTTTTTCGATCGTTTTTAAAAACGATTAACAACCCTATTTGTGCCCCAAGAGAAAGTGTGCTAAATTTCATTGTATAAGTACAATATATACATATTGAACTAAATTACCGGTGTACTATGTATTGCACTAAATTCCCGTGTGTACTGTGTATTGCACTAAATTCCCATGTGTACTGTGTATTGCTCTAAATTCACGTGTGTACTGTGAATTGAACTAAATTCCCGCGTGTACTGTGTATTGCTCTAAATTCCCGTGTGTACTGTGTATTGCTCTTAATTCCCGTGTGTACTGTGTATTGTTCTAAATTCCCGTGTGTACTGTGTATTGCTCTAAATTTCCATTGTATTGCTTTAAGTCTCCTGCACATAAATTAATTTTGTGCATTGTCTGTATATCTACCCTGAGTTACAGTGCCCTGAGTGTAAAGTGCGACAAATAAACAGTAAAAAGTGGAAAGTAAACTGAACAGTCTTTTCCCAGTTCTATACTGGATCATTTGACATCATAATTGGCTTTTTTGGAATTTTTTTTAATGAATCATTTATAAATTGCCATATGCTAAAATATTCCTTAACTATACCATGGGGTCCATCTTCTATTTTCATCTTCTCTTTGTACACATAGTAAAACATTTTTTATATTTTTTGTGGATTTTCGAAATTGTCAAAAATCGAATTTTGTTTGAGACAAATTTTGAAAATTCGATCATCCTTAAACCATCCCTGGGGTGATGTGAGGTCACACACAAAATTTGGGCCTGATCAATTCAGCCGTGCTGACGTTTATTGGATACAAACAAACAGACAAAAAGACACCAAAGCAAAGTTTAAAGATGTAAAAAAATAAAATACCTGATGTTGAAAACACTGATTTGTATTAAATAGTACATGCTTAAAACGTTTTAATTTTACTAGTTCAGCAATAGTTTGTGATTTATAAAAAAGCTATTAAAATCCTATAAAATATTACAAATTTGAAAAAGTTTTCAGTGTATGGAAAAATGTCAGCCATGAATCGTCAGTCGTCCTGGGAGGCTAAAAAGGATAATCTGAGGTAGAGTTAAAGGGATTCATAGTCCCAAAGAACTTTATTATTTTTGGAAACTTTTTAAAAAAGAAAATTTATCTTATTTTTCAAAAATTGGACAGAATAGGCAGGCAGGTATTATTTTCAATAGCAACGATTGAATATTTGAAAATAAAAAAATAAAATTCTAAACAGGACTTGTTACAAAAATATTTGATTGTATAATTTATATTTCATAATATTTAAAAGATGTTTTACAAATTAACCTTATTGCCTAAAATAAGAAACTTAAAAAATAAAGCGAATCTAGCTAAATATGTTCAGTCTCATATCACGTGAATCTAGCTAAATATCACGTGAATCTAGCTAAATATATACAGTCTCATATCACGTGAATCTAGCTAAATATGTTCAGTCTCATATCACGTGAATCTAGCTAAATATGTTTAGTCTCATATCACGTGAATCTAGCTAAATATGTTCAGTCTCATATCACGTAAATCTAGCTAAATATGTTCAGTCTCGTAGGAATAAATCCTGTCACAATTTATCTCTCAACCAATAGTCAACAAACACTGCATAATGGATCTAATGTAAAAGAAAAAACTGGAAAATCTACGATTGGTAATTAGTGTAAAAATTAACACTCGTTTGCTTTTTAAACCAAAACACCTGATTTCTCCACAGGGTAACCCACAGAGGATGATACGTTAAAGACGACCTGTAACTCTTTTAATATTGTGATCAGAAGGCTGCCTTAAATATAGTTTTAATTTGACTAATTGATTTGGCACAGAAAGAAAATAGCTTACAAATGCAGAAACTCGTTAATATTAAATCAAATACTGAATATATTTTGGCTATGAAGTCTACTGTCTACTATTTTGTGGGTAACTCTGTATTTAAAAATTTATCTGACTAAATCATAATATTTGATACTAGCCGAAAGGCCCGGCGTTGCACGTGGAAAAAAAGAATTTTTTTGGAGAAAAAAAAATTAAAAATCTTTATAGCCTATAACACTACCTGTGTGTCCACAAAAATTTTCAGCCCAATCGATCCAGCCGTTTGGCCGGCTATAGACAACATATATACATACGAATGTCTTGTTTTATTATATAGATTTTACAATCAATTTTAGCAATAACTTTTTTTTTTAGGAAGTTCTCCGGCCAGGTTCTTCATGTTGTAAAAGACAATGAGATTTTCAGGTAATCTTTCCAGTTTTTCATTTTATATCTAGTTTATTGCGTAATGTAGACACCAGTGGCAGTACAGTGTTGTACAATCCGTTGTAGTACAGTGTAACGTACTAAGAATAAAAGGATTTTAAATCTTAAATTTAAATTTTCATGATTTAAATAAAATGCAATGCAACATGCACTGGTGCATTGTTTGTTTAAGATAGGACTGGGAACAGTTCCGTTAATAAACGGAACCTTTAAAAAAAAATTACGGTATATTTATTCAGCAAAATAAAAATGTTTTATTTTTACCTTTTATGCCTGCAACCATAGCCAAGGCTTACAGAACAGAAAAACTGGGCTAATTCTTAATAATCATTTTTGAAAATAATAAAAAAGTTAATCATTAATAAATGGTTTCTTAAATATTCTTTAACTACAGAACAAATAGAAAAAAAGACTTACGTGCCCAGCACTAGTTTAAGAAAAAGTTGCATCATAGATCAAATATTGTGAATTTGTACTTTTATTGCAACTTTTTCACAACTGGGCAAAATTAGCAAAATTAACTAAGCTGTTTGTTTTACAAAAAAATTGTCATAACTCAGATTTTTGAAAAAAAAATATTTCTTATTAATTATATGCAACAATGTAGAAAAATAATTTTTATGTAGTTCATTCTAATTTTTTTTATTGCCAAATGGATAAGAAATAAGTCAATTGAAAATAATGAAAAAAAGTAACCATTAAATCTTAATTTTTTAGAATTGTGGTTTAATTAATTTGATGTCAATTTCTTACATAAACATTACAATGTAGAAGAATGTTTCAGAATATATTTTCTAGATTAAGAAGAACAAATGTTAAAAGATAACATTTTAGTTTAGAAGTGTTTGTATTTTCTACTCTTTTTGGTGGAATAAGGGGCATTAAGATACTTTTATAAACTGGATACCAATATTGACATAATCTATGATATTATAATATTATAATATTAAGATACTTTTATAAACTGGTTACCAACATTGACATAATCTATAATGTTTAGATATCGTGTTGATGATTCAGGAAGAATATTACACGAACAATTAGAAAAGGTTAAAATACTGATTTAACCAAAAATATTGTTAAATACACAATGCTACCTGTTGGACATTAAGACTCCACAAATCTAAGAAGTTTTACAAAATTACAAAATTGTTTTCTCACTTTTTATTACAATTAATCTTAAATCATTCATTTATGAACCATTGATTTAATTGTTTGTTTTAATATAATTTTTAATGACGCAAGTCTTTGTAGATTTTTGTGAAGTCTCCTGAAAGAAAAAAATGAACAAGATATTTTAAAAACGGATTTAGCAATGCCCCGTATTTTAATTTTAAACAGCTGATAGATATTGGTTTGGTTTTAGGCCCGTGGCGTGGCCCAGCGTAGTTGGAGGAAGGTTGTAACAGGAGATCCAGAGAAGAAAGTCCGCGATTACATGACTGAAGTTCCGCAGGTTTATTCATGATACCGCTTTTTGACCAACATTACCGACCCATGATTGTCCAACAGAGGGACGTTTATAGATTACTTTACGTCCCTTGGAACAATTAAGTAAAATAACAACCCGCTCGCCAAGTTTATTCACACATTTTCATCTCAAAAGATGATAAAATTGTGTACAACTGCTTTTTCGGGAATTTAAAATCTTTACTTAACCACTGGTTCCCTCGAAAAAGAATGGTTTCGGGAACCCTTAGTAGAGTAAAAATCCCTTAACTTCCCTGTAAAGTATATTTAAAATATTGTATTTATATGAAAATAAATATATTGGGCTTCATCACATTTAACCTGAGACTTTTGAACAAATAACAAACTTTTTGATTTTATGATCGAGCTTTAAACAAATTTTCTCTGGGTTTACCTAGGCACATATTCAGCCCATTTTAATAGTGAAATGGGAAATAATTCTTTTATTATGAAAAAAAGTACCAGTATAGTGTACAGGTACAATACAAAACTGTGGAATGGAACCAATACATTACATTTACAAGATATCAAACCATAATAGAACATAAATAAACGATATTCATATATATATATATAAAGAATAATTACCGCAGTGATCCTAGAATTATTGGCACGAATTTTAATAATAGACGAACTTGCAAGACAAACAAATATATACTACGGTAGAAACTGCCCGCTTCCACGCGAGAAACTTGCGCCTGCGTAGTCGGTCTGGAGACAGCTTCTAAAACTAGTTTTTTACAATACGTTCTGTACAGATCCGCAGGGAGAACTCAGGAATTCACAAGGACACCACATAGACTTTATACACGGAGCATGGCTCGCGTAACACTCGCCCAACCAAGAGCAAACGAAAAAAGTTCCATCTGCACCCCGTGACTTGAACTTCCTGACAACTCAACTAGACCTGAAATACAATCACTGGAAACTTTTAGAGTTTGAATTCACGTAATCCTTCACTTCTTAAAACATCCTGTCCTCCCAGGGAACATCCAACTCTAGATCCATCTCCTCAGGGACCGAAACCCTAGCCGACAAACTTCTTCCCTTGGACCATGTATATCCAGCCTGGGCCAGGACACCCATCTGGACCAAAAACCACTCCCTCGCCTCTAGTAGATACTGACATCCTCCAGAAGTAGGAGCAGGCCACTTCCCTAGAATCTGAGTCCATAACCGGACCAGAGGAGGAGAAAACTCACACAGCTTCTCCCTCTCATTCCTGTACCTCAGAGAAAGAACCATCTCCTCCCTCGTCTCAGCTTCCTCTTCTGCCTTCTGATGATACTCCACCCCTTCCAGTGACACCATCAGGAACTCCAGGAACCAGTCCGCCGCCTCCTTCTGACTGCACTTCAGGTACCTACACAATACATCCGGGTCCGGGAAGACATCTCTCAATAGCAATCCTGCCAGGATATTATAGGTCATGAATCTGAACTGGATATCCCCCAACGCGTAAAACTTCAGGGACTCTGGAATCAACTGCCACCTCTCTCCCCACCAGTCATCTCCTGTAGAAACATTCTTATTCAGGAGAGTTCCAATAACCTGCACTCCCATCGCTGTCATGTTCCTTTCCTGGAATTTATATCCGGCTAGAACGGCTAGAGATGTAAGATCAATAAATCCTCTCTCTAACCTCACCTCCTCACCAGAGATCAAGGGATAAAACTCCTCCACTCTCCGAATATCTCTCCGGATTGCAAGTCCAGCAGATACAGGGAGATCACGGAGTAAATCAAGTAATTCCGGCTGAACCATCATCCTCTCCAACACGTACTCCTTCCTCTTGTTTCTCCTCAGATCCAGTGAAATCAGGCAGGTCCATGATACTCCATTCCCGAACATGATCTTGCCAGGAATCTGCTTGAACGTATCCTTAGAGGCATCTGTCATCATCTCCGGATCGCACTTCCTCTTCAGAATCGCATTCTTGGGATCAATAGTAGCTTTCCCGGCCATCCTCAGAGTGTCGAAGTATGTCGCCTTTACATCCTCTACATCAAAGGACACAATCCGGGTTCCAAACATTCTTTGATCCACGTTCTGCATCCTCTCGATCCATTCCTTCACCTCTAAGATCTCAGAGGTTGAAGATACTCCGCAGACCAATTCTCTCACCTCGATCCTATCCAGCATCTTCAGATCCAAACCTCTGATCCTCTGATACTTCTCCAATTCCTCTAGCTTGGGGTACTTCCACGCGTCAATCCTCTTGGTATCCTCCACCAGGAAATCCAGGAGAGGGGCGTGTAGAGGCAAAAATTCATCCAGGGTCAACTTGCTAGGCCAGTCCAACCCAGAGTGAGATACTCTCCTGAGATTCAATGACATGTACCTCTCATCACCTCCTGTATTGATCCTGTGAGTCTTTCCCGCCAGCTCTCCTACCATGCCAATCTTGTTGGCGATCCTGGTCTCTCCCCAAACCTTGGGAAACTGGGCAGGGATCAACATCATCATCCTCTCCTCGAACTATATACTCCTCTCTGC